AATTATAAATATGACCTTTCTCGATGTACTTATTACTGCTTAGAATTATCTGAAATCATTGCAAACAGAAAGCAATATATACTATCTATTTATTATATCTTTTAATTTTACATACAAAAATATATTTATTAATTGTATCTCTGTATTTTGAGCTTAATTATTTTGATCTTAATTTAAACGGATCGATTTCTTCATTTTTTTTATAAAATGTTTTTGATGAGCAGATACCTTGGTATGAATCGCAAAATTTCTAAATTTAATTAATCGTAATGTCTACAAGCAATTTAATTTCTTCTAGTACCTCCAAATCATCTGGATGACGGATACTTATAACAAACGTGAAGAAACCCCAGAGTTTAAAAACGGGATAGTACTGATCAAGTATTTCACAGCAGAGCTTCCATATTTCCTCTGAGAATTATATTATAAATATCAATATTTTGTGGATTAATTTTATTTTTAATATTAGTGCACTTTTATTCAAATAGGTTGCAAACAGATAAATAATAATAAAGAAAATGGATTTTTAATTATGGATAGTTATAGTATGGATTGCAAAGAGAAGTGCTCATATAAGTAATCTACATGCAATAATCTTGATAAATATAATATTCTATAGAATAGAGGATTTATGAATTTAATTTTTGCTTGTAAATGACAGATCGTTTGTCAATTAATGTAAGTAGATTAGAAATTTTGTAATTACCTGGTGAAACATAGCATTGGATCAAACTGCCAACAATTGGAAAACCTGATGGTCCCGGTATAAGATTATAGAGTCGTCCGCTTTTTCCATGATGCACGTAATAATTATATACCAATAAAATAAATATAGATAATACTAATATAGTAATGAACATCGTTTCTTAACTGTCCTGATATGACCGTCTAATTAAGTTGAACCCTCTTTGGTTTATTATTTTATTATTCTTGGATTGCACGCACCATAAAATAAATGATGTTTGATTTTCAATATAATTGACAATTAGCTTGATCCTTAATATTGTTAATCCTAAAGAAAAATAATGAGAAAGATTGAGAGAACGATCGTTGTAATGCATTTGTCATATATTTCTTTATAATTAATAAGTTTTATAAAAAAATCTGATATTTGTTCATTGTAATTGGAAAAAAACATTATGTGTTAAATTTGTGAATCAAATAAAAAAATCACTAATCGGACATTGCCTGCAATTATTTCTCTATTTAGTGTATAAGATAAAATTTCATTTTCAGATTCTATTGCAAAATTCTTACAGTAATTAATATTATTATAATTAGAATAAAAGAGAAAAAGAGAGAGAGAGAGAGAGAGTGTGTGTGTGTGTGTGTGTGTGTGTGTGTGTGTGTGTGTGTGTGTGTGTGTGTGTATGTGTGTGTTATATTCTTGCATCTATTATATCAAATAATTATCATAAGTTGTTTTTAGCATTGTTATAATTTTATTGTATAATTGTATAGAAATATTGTAAATGATCATATTATTATGTCCGCTTACATTCAATGATAGAGTTATTTTGTAATAGACAGGAGTTTTTTAATTAAGTTTGCAAACTCTGTCACAAACAAAGGATTATATTGAAAACTTTTTCTGCTTTTTTTTCAAAATCATCATCATATTATAATATAAATGTAAATGTCTCATATAAATTATATAATTATCGTGATTGATTAAATCGCATATTTATGTCTTTTCTTGTTTATCTTAATTATTGGGTCAATTTCTTGTATCTAAATTATTGTATCAAAAATTATAACAATATAATTATAGCAATCAAACAGAATTAATTATTTATCATATTTGAAAGAATATGATTTGAAAGAATCTCTATGTTTGCGCTTACACTAATTATGTTTATATACTTACATTAAATATATTTATATTTGAGATTTTGCAATAAAATGTTATAGTTTTATTTTATACAAATATTATAAAAATTACCTCATAGATTCTCTGATGCAATGATTGATCGAAAGACAACCGAAATGATTCAAATAGAATTCAAATAGAAATACATCTCGTTCTGCAGATAAATAAGTCAGTACAACAAATCTGCGCGGACTGATAATAATGATCTAAATACTACGTTTATTTATATTCTCTAGCTTATATAAGAGATAATATGTAAATGAGAATAAATTAAAGTTGAATAAAATACTCAAGGCTCTTAAATTAATTTACATAACATATCCAAAGTTCAAGATTTGAATGCTTGCATCATAATTTTTGTAAGATCTCTCTCTCTCTCTTTTTTTTCTCATTTAACATATTGAAGATTTTTATTTATAAGAGCACACGAAAGTTCGATGCAGTATAAGACTAATGCAGAAGAATAATAAAATCTCGATTTGTCGACAACTTCTGGTCTATAATCAACAGATTCGTCTATTGCATCTTCTATTTCAGCCAGAATAAAATGAAATGATTAGTAGTTATTGTTATAATCATTATTTTACAATTGCAACAAAACGATAATAAAATATCAGATAAGAAATAAAGATTATAATTCGCTATATGCAAATTTTGCATATGTCATCTAATAAATAAATCGATTAAGTTGCGTCATTAAAAATGATTGGCATCTAAAAAAATATAATGATAAAACAAGATGTCAAGTTCACGAAGGAATTATTCAAACAAATTGTGCAAAAAAACGTTGTTAATATATTTCATTGCTTAAATCTGCTTTTTTGTCTATAAAATAAATAGAGAAATATGAGCACTATAAAATTGTATTCTTCCTTATTTAATATTTCATTTTGAAATATTAAAAGTGTTATAATTAAATAATTTGAAATTTAGTTCAAATAATAATTAATAAAAATTAAACCGAAAGTGACAAATAAGAGTCACAGCGCGTTAGTTAGAGTTCAAGAAAGAAACAATACTTGCTTCTTTCTGATTATTCGTTTATTTAAAAAAAATAAAAATAATTACATTAATAATAAACGAACGTTTCGGATCATCTTTTGATCCTTCCTCATTGCGTTAATAATATACAAATTATGACGCATTATAAAAATTTTTCCTCAGCGCGCAGGTGACGCTAAATTGCAACTCAAGGATATCTGGTAAGTGTATTACTTCCAACAGTCCTTCAAATATACTATATTTGTACTATACTTGGCTGTGCCAAGTCACAACGCAAAATATAAATATCGAAAGATATTACACGTGAATTAGCGTTTTATATGTAAATTAATAGTCAGACGCTCCAGATTCCACACTTTTTGCCAGTTAATAATAGTATGCCGTTGTATCTCTTTCTGTTGATTTAAGAGATAAAAGGAGATGGCCACTTTTATGTGGGACACGCTGTATAATATATATCTACATATATAATATATATAAACTTTTTTTAAAATTATAATTAATTAAGATAGAATTCAGTTTATAACATATGTCACATATAAAATATAAATGATAACTATTTTTATATGATTATTTTTTAAGTGTTTTTCTTTTAGTAAAATTATAGAGTAGCATTCTTAAATTATATTTTATATCTTAAATTTTATCATAAACTATAATCTAAACAAAATCATTTAAAGTGATTTTTAATTCTCAAAACATTTATATATGATTAATTGATTAATTCAATGTTAACTGTTATGACTATTAAATGAAGATTCGTTCAGAATTTCAATTTTACTTCAATATTTAATTTTTTTGACATTAGATATCAATTATATTTCTGACTGGGAATTTTAGCCAGAATAAATTTCAGTTAATATTAATTATCATCTTACATTTGTAATGAAATGATAGCAAAAGCATAATATCAGAGAAGCATAATATCAGAGAAGAGTTCACAAAGATTTTAATTTTCTAAACATAAGTTTTGCATTTACATTTATATCCGCATCACTAACTTAATGATTAGTTAGTGTGGTAAAAAGGATATAAAGAAAAGAGATAACTATAATGAAATTAATTATAGAATGAATTAAGAGTAAAATATGTATTTAACGTAAAATATCACACGTAAAATAATACAATCATATATTAGATTACTTTATCGGATAATATTTGATAATATATGTTAAGATATTCTCTAATAAAAGAATAAAATTGTATAACTATTTTTATTTCTAATGTATGAAATTTTCTGACATTTACTCGAGCTATCGATTAAATCTATTACGAATTCGATTCGTTTTGGCGTTACTAAAATTCGATACTCTAAATTATTTTAGAGCTATGAATAAATTCTACATATTTTAAACTGTTATTTTTCGGTCGAGATACACATATCTTGTGATTTTAATGAAATTTTTTTATGCATCTATCTAAAAAAGTATCAAGATATAAACGAAAAATAAATATCTTATATATGATATTATTCAAAACTTTTAAGAAAATACCGAGTTTATTCATTGTTGTGGTAATTGATACAAAAAAACGAATTTTTTTATCAGTCTATAATATTTATTTTATTTCTCATGACATCTCTTTTAGAAATATTTTTTCTACTTTTTTTTAAACTAAATCATTGTCATCGTTTTTTTTTGTCCAATTTTTTTTTTGTCTAATTTTTTCGATTCTTTCTCTTAAAAATATCATGGGCGACCAATCATGTCGTATATGCTGTACACTGGAAGCGATAATTTTACGACTCTCTTATTAATCCTTTCTCGTTTTTTACTTAATATATTGCAAGACATTCATTAAAAATTAATTAAAATTAATTAAAAATAATTAATTAAATTAATAAAAATTAATTTTTAAATAAAATTAAGAAGCGGATAATTAGAATAAATTTATATGAATAAATTTTGGCGATGATAATAAATGAGGTGTAGATAAAAAAAGAGAAACTAATAAAGGGTTAGAAAAAAATTCATAAATTCGTTCAATATAAATAATTGATATGGAATATGAAGAAACGAAAAAATGTATATATGTTACATAACTTTTCTTATATAAGTAGTAAATGAAATATAGTTGTGTTCAAAAGATCTAATGGGGAATGTAAAATCCGGTATAATATTCTTCAAAATAATTTTTAGGCATTATTGTAAGTTTTGGTACAAATTGTTTCGCCATTAAACACATGTATCTATAATATTATATTATAATACTCGAAGAATAATAATTATAATAATTAATATTCAACAGTAACCGTTTTCGTTTTCAGATATTCATTAAGTGCCTCCTGACCTAAGTCTTTTCCGAATCCGGACATCTTGAAGCCCCCGAAGGGAGCCGCCACGTCCGTTTTGTTGTATGTGTTAATGAACACAGTGCCAGCTTCGATCTTTTCCGCAAACCTAAGCGCCCTGCTGATATCCTTGGTGAGGATACCCGAGGCCAAACCGAACTCGGTATTGTTCGCCCGTGCGATCATCTCATCGATATTCTTTGAACTAAACTTGGAGATCACCATAATCGGTCCGAACGACTCTTCCTTGGCAATGTACATGTTGTCCTTGACATCCGTGAAGACAGTTGGCTCGAAGTACCAGCCAGGACGATTCAATCTCTTGCCACCGTAAACCAACGTGGCACCCTCTTCGATCCCGATTTGTACAAACTGCAAGAGTTTTCCCAGATGGGCCTTGTGATTCTGCGGACCGTGAGCCGTACTTCTGTCCAGGGGATTGCCAATGGAGATCTTCTTCACTTCTTCGACTACGTGTTTTACAAATGCGTCGTGAATGGTTTCCTCAACGAAGAGTCGTCCTATACGAGTAATAATAAGAATTATTTGAATTACTTAGATAAAATTTATATAATTATTGAAAATTTCAATTTTTCAACTTTTCGAAATAGAAAAATAAGCGCTATCACTTACCAGCAGCGATGCAATTCTCGCCCTTATTAAAGAAGACACTGCTCATACCGATCCTGACCGCTTGCTGCATGTCAGCATCCTCGAAGATGACGAGAGGACTCTTGCCGCCGAGCTCCAACGACACTTTCTTCAGATTACTGTCGGCACAACTTTTCATGATGGTTTGGCCGATCTGCGTAGAACCGGTAAAGCCTAGCTTTCTGACCAATGGATGCCCGACTATAGCATTTCCAACGGTACTGCCAAAACCGCAAACGATGTTGATGACACCCGGTGGGATTCCGGCGCGCACGGACAATTCGGCGAACTTTAGCGCGGTCAGAGGTGAGGCCTGGGCCGGTTTCATCACCACAGTATTGCCGGCCGCCAGACAGGCCGCCATTTTCCACGAGAGCATCATTAAAGGATAATTCCATGGGGTGACCAAACCGCATACACCGATCGGTTCACGCCGCGTGAATGTGAGATTTCGATTCGGGCGCGCGTGCGAGATGGGTATGGTCGAACCATGGATCTTGTCGCACCATCCGGCGAAGTATCGCCACGTCTCGATAGACATGCCTACGTGAGTCTTCAAAGCAAGAGTATAAACTGCACCGGAGTCGATAGATTCTAAGGTGGCCAGTTCCTCCTTGTGCTCTTCCATTAAATTTGCTAATCTAAAAAAATGAGGAAACAAAGAGAGAAATATTAAAGAATTTCGTTGGAGATTGAAAGAAATCTTTGTCTTATTAATTGGAAAAGGATCTTTGTTAATCTCATTTAGAAGTAAATAAGTAAAAATTCTAAGAAACTTTATTAATTAAAAAATTTTAAGAAATTCTTCAGTTAGTTTTCATTCTCTAAATTTCGCAAAATTATCTTTGAGTCTTATTTTTTATTGTATATATATTTAATATATTAATAAAAGACTTAATGAATATAATTATTTAAAAAGTATATAAAAGATGATATAAAAAATAAATTAACTTACTTGAATAATAATGCTCCACGTTCTCTGGCGCTGATTTTACCCCATTCGCCCTCCTCGAAGGCCTTCTTGGCAGCTTTGACAGCTCGATCGACATTCTCGACGGTTGCGCTTTCTACAGAGCAAATAACACTCTCGTCGTGCGGATTTATCGTATCGACAGGTTTGCCATGGCCATTGACAAACTCGCCATTGATGAAGAGTTGTTTAGGAAATCTCAAAGTCATATTGTTCGCCTCTACTACCACCGCATCATACTTTATCTCTTTCACGGCTACGTTTCCTCGAGCGGCGAGAACAACCGTTGTAGCGAATTCTTTGAAGACCGGCGCCATGAAAACATCGGTATTCTGCAAGCTGACGCCAACAGCGTCTTTAAGCTCCTCGATCAATCGTACCACGTCCATGCTGCTCGCACCTGAGATTAAGAGAAAAAAATTAATATTATATATATATATATATATATATATATATATATATATATATATACAAAATCTTTTCAATTTAATAATTAAAATAAAAATAAAATGTAGATTTAGCTGAAATTATTCAATAATTTAGAAACAAATCCCCAAAAGAATTCATTACCGGAAGCAAAGAAATCTGTCTCGTTGTCGACATCAATTTTAAGAATATCTGTCCAGATTCGATGGAGAACGTTAACGATCTTCAGTTCCTCTTCCGTGAATTCCACGATCTTGCTGTCGCTAGTCTGTCCATATTTACTGGAGTGAATGGTTTTGGTGCCGATCTTAATTCTTTCCACGTTAACACATTGTCCATCGCCGGCCTTGATCAGCAAACCATCCGAATGAACGATTCCTTTTCGTTCCTCGAGATCGACCTCCATCTGAACCTCCGGTAATTTGCCGTTGCTCCATAAGGACGATCCGAAGAGACGCACCTCCTCATTATTTAATATTGTCCAGGCACCTGGAGTACTATCCAGACCGCGAATAAAGTTGTGAACTTCCTTCGCCGGCTTGGTCCAGTCGATTTTCTGGAGATCTTTCTTATTTAATAGCGGATCGTAGGTCGCGCCTTCCTCGGGTTGCGGTATCATAGGCGCGATCTCCTTGGCCACGAGATCCACGGCCTCGCCCATGGCCTTGATTCCCTCTGGATAAAGAAAGTTGTTGTATAAGGTGTCTACTGTATCGTTTGGTTCCACTTTACAGGATTTCTGAAGGAGAAGCGGCCCGGTATCCAGACCATCATCTGCCCAGAAGATCGAGAATCCCGCGGTATCGTCTCCTTGAATCAGCGTCCTGAAATAAGATGGATAGACTTATTAATGAAATTGTTTTAATTTTATATTATTTATATTGCAGTGAAAAAGTGGAGATTATTAAAAAAATTCTATTATTTTATTATTTTAAGTATTAGAATAAATCTGTAAGACTTTGAAATTTTTCACATTTTATCCAAAAATTTTCCAGTAACTGATTGAATAGGATAGAAAAATCGATAACAAATGAAAATTACAGCTATGTATATATTAATTTATTAATTATAAATATTTATTATTTATTATTGCTATAATTTGCATATTATTTTTCATTAATAAAAAAATTTTCATTTTGAAATTCATTTTAAAAATATATAACTTTTAAGATTGGCAGAAGAAATGAAATCTCTCTTTGTTATGTCACACAAGGAGTAAAAAAAATTGCAATACGTTTGCGTGAGAAGATAACGCGCCGAAAATGTGCGATGGTTTCGCATTGGATCGATTCATAAGTCAAAGTGCAAATGCGTGTGATATATAAACACGCGTAATCATCGAATGACGAAATCATATAGCGAATTCGTAGTCGCGTATTATCGTCGTCATCATCGTCAACATATTTTCAACGAGAAAGTAGTCTCGCTTTGCGTAATCTGGAGCGCGAAAAGTCACAGCGAACCGGTTGTTACAGCATGTACAGAGATACCCGCCGATATCGAGAGAATATTACGTCAGACAAGCTGCGCGATATGAAACTGATATGAGAGCTAATATTGCAAAAATAAAATTGACAATAGATCAATAACGAATGAGAATTAATTATAATGATACATACAAAATAATATATTCCCTTAAAAAAATATCATGATGTTAGAATTTAAATTTTAGCAAAATATTTTATGAATCGTATTTTCGCGTAAAAAGATTTCCTGTTGGAAAATTTTCGATAAAAATTAAAGGATGCGTATATTAGATTGATTGAACTCACCAGCTTATGGCGCTCGCTCCTCTGTGTCTGGGCAACAAGGATGGATGATAACATATGCTTCGATGGCGAGGGTGATTGATAACCTCCATGGGGATGAACTGGGTGCAAAAGGGAAGAACATTGAGGTCTACCTCGATACCCTTGTATAGTTCCAAGATTTCGGGCAAGGCTACTCCTTTGCTCCTCCATGCTTTGATCTTGAAAACCGGCGTGTTGTCAGCCTTGGCGGTGATCGCTGATTCAAGACGATAATGAGAAGCATTATGAGAAGCAAATGAGATCACTTGGTGAATATTCCTCATATTATAAAGTTTTAAAATTATAATTAGTCGATTAAAATATATAATATAAAGAAAAACGTGTCACATATAAATTCTATATATTATGTTATACTATCTTCTCTTCTATCTGATACTCAAAATACTCAAAAATGTTAAAAAGAATGAAAATCACAATAGATGTGTAATCTCGAAATTTAATTAATATCTATAAATCACATTTCATAAACTATATATACATATTAATATATCTTATTATTGTGTGTGATATTTTATATCATATATCTTATTAATACAAAACTTATATAAGAATTTATATAAGAATTTTCTTTTGCAGGAAATTTACAATAAAATTAGTTTTCAAATTTATACCTAGAGGATCCTCGCGATTTCCCTTATCCGGAATCGTGAATACTCCGGTGATCTGATGTCCATTTTGTCGCAAGAGTTTGTAGACCTCCGCTGCGAAGGGACTCTGCCCGATGATAGCCACTTTGAGCTGCGCCATCGTCGACTATGTTTAGAAAGAATTTTTGTTAATTTATACTCTCTAAATTATCACTGTAATCAGTGATAATTTGCTGTACTTATAACTGCTTGTAATCAGTGAGTATTTACTGTTTTTCAGTGATAATACACTGATTCACGCTAGTGAAGTAGAAAGTAGTATATATACTACTAGTATATACTACAGTGTACTATCACTGAAAAAGTAAATACTTACTAATTACAAGCGGTTATAATTAAACAGCACTGATACAGTGATAATACACTGATTCACTTTTAGAAAGTACATATCTTAATAGTGAAATTTCTAAAATCTAATCTTAATAGTGAAAGATTAAACTTTGCAATCTTACAATTAGTTGAAATGTATATTATTTTTAATATATAAATATATTATTAATATGTTAAATATATATTTATGTTAATAAATTGATAAAGAATTAGGCTCTGTTATGTATGCGAAAATTAAAAGATATAATAATTCGCGAAAATTAAAAGATATAGATTCTCATTTTTGAGAATACTATAAAATACTATAAAATACTATAAAATCCCTCTTTACCCCCCTGAAGAGAATTTCTCTAGAAAAGAAAAATCTATATCTTGATTAATGCACCAAGTAAAATATATGCATATGCTTTGTGCGCGTTTTAATTTTCGCGAATTATTAATCTTTAAAAATTTTACGCACTACCATCCATGATGGCTCTTAATCGCTCTTTTCTCGTGTATATATATTTATGTATTATTAATTGTAATGCTTTTTGATTGCCATACAATCTTGAAAAAATAATCCTACGAAACAAGATTTCTGATACAAGCGAAAAAAGAAAGAAGAAATAACAAAGTGAAAATTTTTCGAGAAATCTCTCATTATCTTGAAAGATATTTTCTACAACTGTATATCTGGTTTGTACTATGATTTTGAATTTATCTATAACAATAAGATATAACACATTCTTATTTTTATTTTCCGATATAATCACGATATTATAATCTAATCTTTTCCGAAAAATTAGTGACTTCTAAGATAATGAATAATTTACTTAATTCGTGGATGCATTAATTAAATAATATTCACCAACTTATACATACCTTCTCAAGATTTAATCCGTCGCCTGTATATTATGTTAGTAGCGGTTTTAAGCGAACTGTAAAAAGTATATAATTTCAAAGCTTATTTACAGAATAAATCGCCGAAGTTCCATTTACAATATCATGCATACTGTCATCCATCACCTCATTCGTTATACAAAAATTAAAGATATCTTTTAGTTATAATAAGTTAATTATAATAAATTAACATATTGAATTTCAAATAAAGGATTTCTATTATTAAAATCACTTTGCAAAAGCTCAAACTATATGATATTGCATATTTACTCTGTATATTACGCTGCTCTCTTAAATAAAATCAGTGTCATCAGAATTATTATAACCCAGACAGCACATTTAGATGTCCAAAAGATATCTAAAAAGCGATTTAAAAACGTCTTAAAATCCTCTGTCTTTTTATTTTTTATTTTTATTTTTATGATTCAGATGATTCTATGGGACGCTATCCTGCACGCCGTGGAGAAGGAATTTTCAAAGGCATCGGCAATTATTAATAACTTTTATTTAAACATATGAAATTTAATAAAAAAAATTTTTTTGTAAACCTTTTGATATACATAATAAACAGTAAAAATTTCAAAACAATCCATTGTGTAGTTTCTTTGTAAAAAATTCACGAAAAAGTGTTTTGATTTTGACCTTCTAATGTAGGCGATCCCCTTAAGACATCTTTTGTACTGTCTGGGAAGCAATGATAGCAAACAATGAAATCTTACTGAAAAGAGACAGTTACTTTGATTTGATTATATTGTTTTTTCAATGAAATCTTACTGATTTTCAATATAATTAGAAAAATATAAAATGAAAGAGCAAAATAAGTATGAGCATTTTTATTAGAAATCAGTAAAATATTCATTAATCTTTATTGCTTTTAAGTCATATTTTTACTGATTCAAATTAAGAGAGTAAAAAAACATGAGATTTATATAAACTTATTAGTATAATAACGATATTAAAGTGTAATAGGATATTAATATAATATTAATATTATTGATATAACAAAAATTTATAAATAATATATATATATATATATATATATATATATATATATATATGTATATTATTACACATGCATCGCTTAATCGGTGGATTAATGTAACATCTCTAATATTAACAATTTTATTTTAAATATAAATGTGCATCAATGCGATCTTTGTACAACATTCAAAGCTAATTTTTTTTCTTCAATCTTTATCTTTATTTTTCTCTATCTCTCTCTCAAATATTAATATATTTTTTTCTTAAATTCGATGATGTATATCAAACTTGCGACTTACGATATTCAAGACGAAGTTGCGCCTCCAGATGAAATTTCTCAGACCGAGCATCAGTTTTACGAGCACGGGTGTACTAATGTCTAACTGTGGTGCCTTTACTTTCGTTACTGACGATCGGGGCTCACGATGGAACGCGAGCAGTCCACCATTAGTGTAGCAAATGTGGAATCGATTTCTTCGATTACGAACTCGGGTAAAACCGGCTACGTTTATATAATGTCAACGATATCTCCTGCACGCGAGGGTCAAGATCTTCTGTCAAACATCGAATTTTTATTCTCGAGACATTCTCGTTATCTTTAAAACCACGAATGGATACTGAGAATTCTGTGATTTATAGCTGAATAATTTATGTGTATGTGTGTGTGCGTGTAAATAATACATTTTTAATAACATATGATAAAATATAATATCAAGAATTTATGTAGTATTTATTACAATTATAAATGAAATAATGATAAAATGTATATCTTGTTATACTATTTTATCGCTTTGTTAATACATTCATTATTAAATAATAATGTAGTGCATTTTCTCCTATAAAAAAATAAGAAAATTTTTGAACCAATTACTCTTAAGAAACATTTTTATATGTAAGACAAATATTTATTGAAATTATATATATTATGTCATATACTAGAGAGTAAAGTATATTATTATATATTCGTCTCTTATTACTATAATAATATATTATAGTAATAAGAGACGAATATATAATAATCGACACTTATAATTAGATCCATATTTATAATTCATTTTAATGTTCAAAATCGTCCAAGTACAATCTTAAAATGCTATTTAAGGTGTTTGATTAAAAATTTAAGATGATTGATTTAAGATGCTTGATTAAAGATTTAAGATGATTGATTTAAGATGCTTGATTAAAGATTTAAGATGAAAGATTCTGAAATTATTAATGCAAGATTATATTTAAGACAATTTTAAATACAAAATGTTTCAGTATCTATGGAATGTTTCAAGATCTGTGAAATGTTTCAGTATCTACGGAACAAATTTTAGGAAATGATAGATCTTACCTTCTAAAAGAATCAATTTTTATCAAGAAACTTATATCCTTCGACATATCTCTGTTTAAACTGCCCGTAGGATGACAACTGATAACTGACTCTGTAATATTGCGTGTAACGTCTGACAATATTAGTTCACATCCTTCAATTTTTTTTAAAAATTTTATTTAAAGAATATAATTCGGTGACCCCAAAAGTACATAAGCCTTGAACAAAAATTGATTCTTCTGATAAAAAACTTATCGTCCTTGAAGTTAGTTATTCCACGAGTCCTAAAACACTTTGCGTAAGAACAAACTATAAATGCAGGTTTAAATTATATTAGCAATCAAAATTTTATTATTAATGTCAAGAAATTAATTTAATTTTAATCAATTAATATTAAATTGTATATAATTCTAATTAATATTTGAATGGGAAAAAGCTATATATATTAATTATAATTATAATTTTTAATTTTTTTAAATTATAATTATAATTTTTTCTTGTGGACTTAACTGTATCTAAAATTCAAATTGAAATACACAAAAATATTGTGTATTTGAATTTGAATTTTAGATATAGTTGCAAATTTGCTTGAAAATAATATGAAATACATTGATATGATTTTATTTTAAAATATTTGCATTTCATGAAATTCGTCATCGGAATACTTGGATGAAAAAATTCTTCTTTTGACGACAATAACTTTCTAATCGACGCAAAATGCGAGTCCAAACTGACTCAATCCAGTTTGAAGGAAAGATTCTCGCAATATCGATCGTAAATAGGCAAAGGTCTCACCCCAAGATCTTTTCCGCTTTAAATCGGTTTCGAGTCACTCGCCGGGAAAGAATTCTTATCTCAGAATAACGCGGTTTACTATCCGATTTTAGCATATCCATGATGCAGTAAATACGTTCGGTCATCGCGTAATCTTATGTTACATCATTTTTCCTGTCCTCATTTCATAAATTGTTTAAATTAGCTAAAATTGTTGAAATTACATAAAATTACATAATCGCTAAAATACATTTCAATAGAATATCTTTTTTTTTTAGACAAATGTAATACGTTTTATTTTAGCGTTATTTCGTAGATAGGCGTCTTTCTTATATTATAAAAATTTACATATTTGTGTTTTCGAATTTACATTGTTCTGTGAATTTTCAATAAAGTACAACAGCAAAAGCGTAAGTTTGAAGCTCTTAGAATTAAAGAATGCAAAATAAGCATTTTATGCTACACCAGAAAATCGGTTATATATGTGTATGCATTTGTGTATATTTATGTAAATATTTTTATTGCACGAATGGATAGCTCAGAATTGCTGAATTAACGAATTTACTCTAAGAACGTCATCGATCAAATGTTTATTAAAGCTATAATATATTGTATGACAAGCGCGGCATTAAATTATCAATAACTAAAATTTATATATTACAACTTCAGTTTTTACTTAATAAATGTAACGTAAATTTAATAAATATTTGATTAATAAAATAGAGCTATATGTGCATTTATAACTTTCTCTCTTTGATTGATTTGAATTTATTCATTAATTTATATATATATATATATATATATATATATATATATATAATATGTAACTGCCATTGAGAGATAATATTTTGTAAAATAAATTATCATATTATATCAATATAATTTAAAACTGTATTAAATTTTAGCCTATGATACAGCATATAATACAACTTTCACTTAAGATATCATATTGGAAAATCACTCATAATGTCTATATAACTAATATATCTCTTATATTGTATAATATATATAAGAAATATATTATATATATATATATATATATATATATATATATATATATATAAGTTATAATCGAATATATATATATTCGGTTATAACTTTACAGAATTAACTTATTTCGTTCTCTAATTCTCTAATTCTGAGGAAGATATATTATTAAAATATTTCAATATCGCGGTACTTTGAACTCAGATGAGCCATCGATCGTCGTCGTCGGTTTCCTCTTATTCATAATATTCTGAATCTTCTGCCATTCACGATCGAGCTCCGCCTTCTCGTTTTTCTCCTTATTATATTTCCTGGTGCGCCTGCCGTCGGCCATCTTGACACCGTACTGAAAAGCTGCCTTAGGTAGTGCTTCCTTGTTATTCATATATTCACTATACTCCTCGGGTGTATCAAAGTCCCAGCGTCCAATCGGACCCTTCTTGTTACCCAGATCCATCTTCGTGTAATCTACTTCATCGTCCGAGTCGTCGATAGCATCTTGCATTTCATCTAGACCTGGGTAACATTCTGCGTAACCTTCCGGTTCAGCTGCTAACTTATTCAACAATGCGCCCTTCTTGGGAGCATTATTGTCCGTTGCGGTTACTGCATTTTGTTGCAACACGTTCGGCAATTGAGGAGCATTTGCTTTGTCGTCGGTATCGAGATTAGACTCGGGTTTGTCGAAATATGAACTCTTTTTCTTTTCGCGCGATTGCCCGTCCTTCTTGCTCGTCACTGTCGGTACATAATCGCCGATATCGCCATAGATACTATCATCGGCGACTGGCGGTCGTGGTTGGATGTCTATGTCATTCTCATCGCCACGAGCCCGCCCATCCTTCAGCTTTTTGCCTTTTTTACTGTGTCGATTACCTTGACGCAGATACGATAGGATCTGTGCTAGTTTGTTGATCACTATATCGTTGGTCGTAAGAGTCGGCGTATTGTCGATAGTCGGCACATCCGCTTTGCTTCTAATCAATGTTGTAGGTATGTCGACGTCGGCATTGTCATCATCCAGTTCGATCACGTATGCCATGCGACCCGGAGTGAATAACTCATTCCTCTCGATCTGCTTGGATTTCATGATCATGATAGTTTTATACACATTCCGGCCCATCTTCGTCTTGAACTGCATATCGTCATCCTTTTTCTCCGGCTCCTTCTTTGATTTCTCCTTTGGTTTCACAAGTTTCTCCATTTCCTGTTCTTGCTCGTGTTCTTTCGCTTCAATCTCACTACGCACCTATAAAATAATAGCAATATTATTATTATTCAAATATCTAATTAAATACAAATTATTTGTCTCTAAAAGGTAAATACTGAGACTTGATTATGGCTTCAATGAGATAAAAACAGCAGTAATAAAGTTTAAAATCATGTATAAGTCATAAATGATATACCTTCTGTAGAAGAGCATAATCCAAGCCCTTGACCAAATGAGTATGTTCCATGTCACCTCCTAAGAATTTAGATTGTTGGATCATCTGTCTCCTGCGTTCTGCGGCATCCATGCCGGATTTAAGGTCTGGTGCAACAGCTCTGTAAGCACTAGCATTGTTCATAGGATCTTCTGCCTGATAATCCTGATTGGTGCCATCTCTGCGTTCCCTCGCGCGATCCCTATACTTCTCCGCGAGTTCTGCCATCTTGTCCTCCTCCTGTTTTTTCAATTTTGCGTAGAAACTCTTCTTCTTCCTTCGCAGCTCTGCTCGACTACCCCCACTAACTTGGGGGGTTTGAGCTGTCTTTGCACTGGCATCCCTTGCTGTGCCTGGTACGGAAGCTGGAGTAGCTGAGGGTACTGACGCCCTAGGAGTCATCAGGAGTTTTCGAAAGTCGTCGTTCGTCAGACGAACTGACATACCCACCTCTTCCTCTGTCTCTGGCATTTTGACTAGTTGTTTTTCCTATAAAATTAAGGTTATGATTAATAAAACTCTTGGCGAAATGCATAATAATTTTAAAATATAACTTACCTTTTATGAACTGCAAGAAATAATAATCGAAATCCTAGCTTTATAATATTAAAAAAAACAATCCAGATAAAATTATATTCGTAGAATTTGACGACAGCTCGTATCAGCCAATATCAGCTCGTATACATACATACAGAGAGAAACCTGAGAGCGGCCACCTCGCTTTAACGGGTATATTGTCCTAATGCGCTCCCTGACAAAGTGGACGTCAACTATATCCATTACAGTCGATAATAATACATGGTTCGTGTCTGAGCTATGGTTCATGTCCAAGCTATGGAGTGACCCCAAAAGTGATACTCCCTCTATGGACATTCAAAACATGGACATGAACTACAAAGTCAAAGTACATGAATGTTCTCAGAGGGTAATATATAATTGCACAATTTCTGGTTTTGTTCCGTGCTATGTGCACGAAATGCCGGTAGCACCAGTGCTATATAACAATTAAATACTTATGTGTGTAAATTGATAATAAATAAATTATTCAATCGCGACAGATACTGTAATATTCAAAGATGAAATAAATATTTTTCAAAATAAATTGGTAAATAATACGGCTCTATGTATTTATCAACATGATAATTAAGTAAAGAGCATTAAGAGCCCACAAAACGCGGATGGCAATGCGTAAATTATTTCGAACATTAATTGTTCCCGAAATTTTTTTTTTTTTTTTTTTTTTAAATGCGTTATTAGGAGAACATGATTTGTAAAGAGGTCATCAACGCATTATCGACCTCCTCGCAAAATATATTCTCCTGATAATATAAAATAATAAGAAACGAATTTTCGAAAATTTTCACGCTTGCGTTATTAGGAGAACATGATTTGTAAAGAGGTCATCAACGCATCTTCGACCTCCTCGCAAAATATATTCTCCTGATAATATAAAATAATAACCCTAACAGCACACATGTCCGAAAGATGTCCAAAGGATATCCATAGGATATCGATAGGATATCGAGATATCCTATGGATATCCTTTGGACATCTTTCGGACATGTGTGCTGTTAGGGAAGAAATGAATTTTCGAAAATTTTCACGCTTGCGTTATTAGGAGAACATGATTTGTAAAGAGGTCATCAACGCATCTTCGACCTCCTCGCAAAATATATTCTCCTGATAATATAAAATAATAAGAAACGAATTTTCGAAAATTTTCACGCTTGCGTTATTAGGAGAACATGATTTGTAAAGAGGTCATCAACGCATCATCGACTTCCTCGCAAAATATATTCTCCTGATCATATAAATTATAAGAAACGAATTTTCGAAAATTTTCACGCTTGCGTTATTAGGAGAACATGATTTGTAAAGAGGTCATCAACGCATCATCGACCTCCTCGCAAAATATATTCTCCTGATAATATAAGATAATAAGAAACGAATTTTCGAAAATTTTCACGCTTGCGTTATTAGGAGAACATGATTTGTAAAGAGGTCATCAACGCATCATCGACCTCCTCGCACAATATATTCTCCTGATAATATAAATTATAAGAAACGAATTTTCGAAAATTTTCACGCTTGCGTTATTAGGAGAACATGATTTGTAAAGAGGTAATCAACGCATCATCGACCTCCTCGCAAAATATATTCTCCTGATAATACAAAATAATAAGAAACGAATTTTCGAAAATTTTCACGCTTGCGTTATTAGGAGAACATGATTTGTAAAGAGGTCATCAACGCATCATCGACCTCCTCGCACAATATATTCTCCTGATAATACAAAATAATAAGAAACGAATTTTCACAAATTTTCACGCTTGCGTTATTAGGAGAACATGATTTGTAAAGAGGTCATCAACGCATCATCGACCTTCTCGCACAATATATTCTCCTGATAATATAAAATAATAAGAAACGAATTTTCGAAAATTTTCACGCTTGCGTTATTAGGAGAACATGATTTGTAAAGAGGTCATCAACGCATCATCGACCTCCTCGCAAAATATATTCTCCTGATAATATCAAATAATAAGAAACGAATTTTCAAAAATTTTCACGCTTGCGTTATTAGGAGAACATGATTTGTAAAGAGGTCATCAACGCATCATCGACCTTCTCGCACAATATATTCTCCTGATAATATAAAATAATAAGAAACGAATTTTCGAAAATTTTCACGCTTGCGTTATTAGGAGAACATGATTTGTAAAGAGGTCATCAACGCATCATCGACCTCTTCGCACAATATATTCTCCTGATCATATAAATTATAAGAAACGAATTTTCGAAAATTTTCACGCTTGCGTTATTAGGAGAACATGATTTGTAAAGAGGTCATCAACGCATCATCGACCTCCTCGCAAAATATATTCTCCTGATAATATAAGATAATAAGAAACGAATTTTCGAAAATTTTCACGCTTGCGTTATTAGGAGAACATGATTTGTAAAGAGGTCATCAACGCATCATCGACCTCCTCGCACAATATATTCTCCTGATAATATAAATTATAAGAAACGAATTTTCGAAAATTTTCACGCTTGCGTTATTAGGAGAACATGATTTGTAAAGAGGTAATCAACGCATCATCGACCTCCTCGCAAAATATATTCTCCTGATAATACAAAATAATAAGAAACTAATTTTCGAAAATTTTCACGCTTGCGTTATTAGGAGAACATGATTTGTAAAGAGGTCATGAACGCATCATCGACCTCCTCGCAAAATATATTCTCCTGATAGTACAAAATAATAAGAAACGAATTTTCGAAAATTTTCACGCTTGCGTTATTAGGAGAACATGATTTGTAAAGAGGTCATGAACGCATCATCGACCTCCTCGCAAAATATATTCTCCTGATAATATAAAATAATAAGAAACGAATTTTCGAAAATTTTCACGCTTGCGTCATTAGGAGAACATGATTTGTAAAGAAGTCATCAACGCATCATCGACCTCCTCGCAAAATATATTCTCCTGATAATACAAAATAATAAGAAACGAATTTTCGAAAATTTTCACGCTTGCGTTATTAGGAGAACATGATTTGTAAAGAGGTCATCAACGCATCATCGACCTCCTCGCAAAATATATTCTCTTGATTATATAAAATAATAGGAAACGAATTTTCGAAAATTTTCACGCTTGCGTTATTAGGAGAACATGATTTAGTTGGGGCCCTTAATTGGGCCGGGCTGCCTTGCCTCCAGAAGTTATGGTCTCCGTTTCCTGGAGGCAGGGCGATAGCAGCATGTGAGTCTGCTCGACGGGGTTTTTAGTTGGTATACCCGGCATTGCACACCTGGGAGAGGGGCTAGCTCTCTCCTAAGGGCCGGGGAGTCCAACACTACCCCCCCTTGGTGCGCCGTACGCACCTCGGGGGGGTGTGCGTAATGCATTTTCCCCGTCGTTAAACAAAAAAAAAAAAAAAAAAAAAAAAAAAAAAAGGAAAACATGATTTGTAAAGAAGTCATCAACGCATCATCGACCTCCTCGCACAATATATTCTCCTAATAATATAAATTATAAGAAACGAATTTTCGAAAATTTTCACGCTTGCGTTATTAGGAGAACATGATTTGTAAAGAGGTCATCAACGCATCATCGACCTCTTCGCACAATATATTCTCCTGATCATATAAATTATAAGAAACGAATTTTCGAAAATTTTCACGTTTGCGTTATTAGGAGAACATGATTTGTAAAGAGGTCATCAACGCATCATCGACCTCCTCGCAAAATATATTCTCCTGATAATATAAAATAATAAGAAACGAATTTTTGAAAATTTTCACGGTTGCGTTATTAGGAGAACATGATTTGTAAAGAGGTCATCAACGCATCATCGACCTCCTCGCAAAATATATTCTCCTGATAATATAAAATAATAAGAAACGAATTTTCGTAAATTTTCACGCTTGCGTTATTAGGAGAACATGATTTGTAAAGAAGTCATCAACGCATCATCGACCTCCTCGCAAAATATATTCTCCTGATAATATAAAATAATAAGAAACGAATTTTCGAAAATTTTCACGCTTGCGTTATTAGGAGAACATGATTTGTAAAGAGGTCATCAACGCATCATCGACCTCTTCGCACAATATATTCTCCTGATCATATAAATTATAAGAAACGAATTTTCGAAAATTTTCGCGCTTGCGTTATTAGGAGAACATGATTTGTAAAGAGGTCATCAACGCATCATCGACCTCCTCGCAAAATATATTCTCCTGATAATATAAAATAATAAGAAACGAATTTTCGAAAATTTTCACGGTTGCGTTATTAGGAGAGCATGATTTGTAAAGAGGTCATCAACGCATCATCGACCTCCTCGCAAAATATATTCTCCTGATAATATAAAATAATAAGAAACGAATTTTCGTAAATTTTCACGCTTGCGTTATTAGGAGAACATGATTTGTAAAGAAGTCATCAACGCATCATCGACCTCCTCGCAAAATATATTCTCCTGATAATATAAAATAAGAAACGAATTTTCGAAAATTTTCACGCTTGCGTTATTAGGAGAACATGATTTGTAAAGAGGTCATCAACGCATCAACGACCTCTTCGCATAATATATTCTCCTGATAATATAAATTATAAGAAACGAATTTTCGAAAATTTTCACGTTTGCGTTATTAGGAGAACATGATTTGTAAAGAGGTCATCAACGCATCATCGACCTCCTCGCAAAATATATTCTCCTGATAATATAAATTATAAGAAACGAATTGGTTTGTGGGCTCTTAATGCTCTTTACTTAATTATCATGTTGTTAAATATTTTTCTATATTCGAGTGTCACCGTGTGAATGATGGCAAAGCTATGACATGTATAGCCGCTTGCTATACATCGTCAAGGCCAAACATATGATATTAATTGATAATTCTCTGCCGAAATATTTTGCGTACTATATATACACGCGACATTTTAAATAGAAGTATATTTTATTTTAAATTAATTAATTATGAACGATTGATGTATCACGGAACAATCGCGATATATCGCAAACCATCATCATGTTTCGGAGAGCGACCCGCCCACCGCTTCGCCGCGATCGTAGTATCTATATTTAATTAATTAATCGAACGATTGCATTCCGATTCATCTTTTCGTTCGGTATATATAAGTATTTAATCAATTAATCGAACGATTACATTCGGCTTGCCATTTTACTCGCCGCGTTACAGTGAATATCGCGCGAGATAGGCAAGCAACATGCGCGGCGTCGTGCACGATTTCGACCGTCCGCGCGCAGACGAAAAACAGCGAATTTATATCTCGACTTCCAGACGCGATTTCGTTCTTTTTGCATAAAATTCTACACCATTTCGCGGCACTACCGTTTAAATCTCGTCCCGATCGCCCGAAGAGCGGCTGACTTACAGTGAATATCCGAAATTTGCTTCTTGGACTCACACTTAAATGTAATATTTATACATATAATATAAATATATAATATAAATATATAATATAAATAATAGCAAGGAAAAGAGAGAACATATTAATATTTTTATATAATAAATTATTATTAATTAAATTATTTATATTTTTATTTATATTATTTAAAAAAAATAATATGAAATATTTTTCTAATTATTTTTTAATTATATATTCTTATTATTCTCCCTGTATTCTATTTCTGTAATGTATTATTAGAGGAAGATATAAATCAGGATAGATTTTGTGAAACAAAATGGATTTAAATTCAATTTTTATTTATGTATAGTGTATTGATACCACTCTCATATTTGCATTTCATTTATGTCTGCTATTTGTAACAATGCTTTGCATTTGTAATCAATTGTACATTTAACATAGTACTATCTCTTCTTTTTATATTAATATTATTAGGAATGCTTACCTTATATTTTTATAGGGTAGATATTTTATATATTATTCTATATCATTTTTTGAAATTCGAATAAATGGAATAATAATCAGCAATTAGAGTCTGTCTTGTAGCAGTGTACATTACTGCAATTAATTGAAAATAACTTTGTTCCCAAAGTAGGGTTCGCGACATAAAATGGAAATTTACTCATTCCGTTACACGCAGCTCCGAATTCTCCCCTATTGTTCAAGGCGATTACCGCACCGAAAAAGGTGGGATAATGTCGAATGATCCTGTTAATCGCCTTTCTGGCAGCTGCATCCGGCGTTGCTCCTCGACGCATCTCCTCTACCACTAGAAAGCTATAAAAAAATGTGTGTATTAGTACTTTAATTTTATGTACTAAATACATATTATATACTAAATACATGTAAAATAATAATATATGTAGAACAGATAAAAATGTTTACATTACATATACATTTACATTACATATATAATTATAAGATATATATAGCTATAGATGTAGTAATAAAAAATAAAAAAAAATTGAAATTAAAATTAAATTGTAATTTAAAATTTATCTCAATAACTGCAAAATGTATTAATATGAATGATACCTCGGTAGAAATCGCATCATAATATCTCCGTCACCGGTACCAGCTGCCGCACCAACTTCTTGATCGGCGTATGCCCCAGCTCCCGGAATAGGCGAATCTCCAATTCGACCACGTATCTTATGGTTGGCGCCATTTGTAGAGGTACCGGCCGCCGTACGTCCCTGAGAGTCTATCGCGAGCATACCAATTGTATCGTGATTTTCCTCGCTTCCTTCCAAAGTGTATTCTTCGTATCTAATATTATTCTTTTGTATATTTTTCGACTTATATGGCCCGCAGCTGATCGTTGGATCCGGCTCAACATTCTAAAAATAATCATTTTGCATTCTACAAATATTACTACATTATTACAATTTAAGAATATTAATAATTATAAAAAAATTAGATTTATTCTTCCTATACCTTCCAGAAATTGGGTTGACATTTGTTTGCTTTCCAATCATTCCACATTCGGTAGGATTCATTTGTCGATAAAGATTCTCTTTTGAATCCCATCTCAATAGCGAACTCTGCAGCTAACTCTCCGCCCAATAAGGTATGTTTTGTGTGATGCAGTACCTTGCGAGCCACCGAAATAGCTCTCTTTACAGTCCGCAATGATGCTACTGCACCTACATCCATTGTCACTCTATCAAAGAAATACATATACTTCTTGAATATTATTGAATATAATTTAATTACAGATAAGAAAAGATGTGTAATTTTATTACCCATCCATAATCATAGCATCCAGTGTAGTTTCTCCATTTTCATCTGGACTACCACCAAATCCTACAGTCTTTCTACATTGTTCTGCTTCACACAGAGTGCATCCTTCCTCTATTGCATCTAGAGCACTTCTCTTCTGATTATATATCACGTCCCATGCTTATCAATGATAATTAAGAATATTTTTAAATTAATTTTTAAATTATCAAAGTTTGCACAAAATTGTCATTTATTTCTGTTGTGATAAATTAATGTTAAAATATATTAATATACCTTTTCCTGCTGCAGATATATAATCCCAGGTGATCACTATCACAGGTAAGGTATTATTAGCAACAGATTTGTCAATTGCATTAATAAACAAACAAGTTTCAAAGAGAAACAAGATCCGTATAAAATTGATGAGCTTCATCTTTCTTGTAATATCTGGAAATACATAATGCTCTAAATCATGCTATGTAGTCTTATATATTATGAACTTTGCTCAGAAAGTGGGAGAAGAAATATCTTTAATAAGTAGAGTACATATCAATATTAAGTATTGCAATAAATAGATAAGATTATCTTGTATATAATAATGTATTAAGAAGCAATCAAAAGAACTGTGAATTACATCTTAAAATCTCAGTTATTTTTATTCTTGAAACATATCATTATCATTGTCCTAAGATATTTATAAGTGAGAATGGATGATAATTATATAATTTTGAAATTTTCCAATGACTAAACTGTGTATAACATTATTTAATTTAAAAGTATATATATATATATATATATATATATATATATATATATATATGGTATCCAAAAAGCATACATTACTAGGCAATCTTGTATCATATTCAGAATTTTTTCTTTGAATTGATTTTCTTTATTTCGAAGTTATTTTTTTCTTAGGTTTTTGGGTCCATGTTAAATCGAAAGTTAAATCAATCTGGCCATCAGCTTGTAATAAGAATATAAAATATAAGAGTATTAAAAAAAATAATGAAACTGCGGAGTCTTCTTGGAGAGATTAAAAATATCTAAACAAAGAATATATACATATATATATGATGCATATTAACATGTCCAATTCTATCTAAAGACAGTAACATTTTTTTCAAAGTTTTTAAAAGATCCTCTGTCAAAATTTTGCTTTTAACTCCCATTCTTTTTCTAATTCTAATGTCCATATATGCATGTAGAGAATAATAAAACTATTAGATTATTACCCGTTCAAAATATGTTGTTAAAATAAAGGTGAATTCACAATAAAGAACTGTTTAGTTCCGATGGTTCCATAATATAAGCGCCAGTGGATTGTGCATTATAAAATCACTAGATTACTTTTGTTGCAAGATATTACAAATTATCATTCTTTTTACAATTACGTTAATTTTCGCTTTACTCTAATTTAACTCATTTCCTTAATTCCAAATATTTCTGCAAATTGCATACAACGTTCACGAATTACGAGCGTAAAACACATTTATCACGGGGTGTGTATGGTGTCGTATTGTGTAACATCCTTATTAATGTGCACGGCCAAATAACAAGGATTATATATCATTACTAGAAAAACAGTCTAACATTTTGATTCACTTGAACAAATTTATCGACATTTTTCTCCATTCACTTACACGATCGCACAAAACAGCTGACACAAAACAGCTGACTGATTATTATTATTATTATTATTATTGTAAGAAGAAGAAGAAGAAGAAGGATTTGTCGCAAGAAAAGAAAGATTAATCTCTTGAAATAAACTCGTATAATAAAATCGTGTAATATTTCATGCTAATTTAATACGCACCTCGAAACCTGTATCAATCTGTGCAATTTCTATTGTCGCAATTTCTCAATTTCGACTGTGTGGAAATGTCTTTTAAGAAAGATCTGAGGTTGCTTGTGAAACCATACTACTTAATAAATATTTTTCTCAGTATTTCTTACATCCTATCGAAGCGCACTCCTATAATCTGTAATTACATATTTGCTCAAGGTGACTGCGAGTTAGATGGGGTGAGTGTACAATTGATTGTTAATTTATATATAATACATCAATGATAATATCTAATCATATTTTGCTAATAAATCTTTTACAGAGGGAAACAGAAATTCTTTTCTTTCTTTTGTTTGTCATCATGATAAGGACAAGAAAAACTGGCAGCGTGACCATGATCAATTACTTGACATCTAGTTTTGTATATACAAAAGTGACAAATTTGCTTCTATGGCTCTATGCAGATGTGCGGATGGGCATTCTATTTGCATTTATTTTCATATGTAAGACAAAATACATGAAATACTCTAAACCTTAAATCATAAATTATATTCTATTATGTCAAAAGTAATATAATATGTCATATTTATTCAGTATGCGGATTAATACTGCCAGAACCAACGTATCAGGGGCCTGAAAATATAATCTATTTACGTGGAGCTAATGGATTACAGGAGGAATTACGTGACACTAAAGTAGTCTGGCTGATAGCATTTTACACAGCCTGGAATCCGGCCTGTGTAACTTTTGCTCCAGTATTTGCTGAACTGTCTGCAGAGTAAGTGTTTAAAGTCTAATATCCTTCTAATCATTAAAAAATATTCTGTCTATATAATTGTGAATTTTGCATCAAAATACAGATATGCATTGGAAAATTTCAAATTTGGTAAAGTTGATGTTGGACGATATCCAGATGCAGCAATAAAGTATCATGTCAGTGATGCTAGTACAAGCAAGCAATTACCTACATTAATACTCTTTAAAAATGGCAAGGAAGTAGAACGACGTCCATATGCGGATCATAGGGGAAAACTTGTCAAATTTCTTTTCTCATTGGTATAAATTATTTATATAAGAGTCTAATTTTAAAATTTCAATTTATATTTATACCTTATAAAATTTTGTCTTTATTAATTTGTTTCCCTGTTTCAGGATAATGTAAAGGCTGCATTTGATCTCAATAATATTTATAATGATTGTAAGAACAATCCTATCAAGAGAAAAGAGAAAAAGTCGCTGAAAGCAGAATAACCAAATGAAATTTAAGCACTTAAGTGAGAAACACATTCTTCGCAATTCACATCTAAGCGAATTTCAATTAGACAGCTTCTACTATAGTAGAAAATCCATCTAGCGCGTTATGTCGTTCGAATTCTGAAAAGTCTTTAAAAATACATTGTAAATATATTTTATTGCTTGTTGTAATAATCGGTAATTTCATTTATATTCATTTGTGTGTGTGTAATACATCATCATAAATTGTTATAGCAATATTGTATATTATCCGATGTAAATGTGCCATAAACATGCAAAATAATTTATCGTAAATTAACAATTACGTCGTTTTCTTTTATAATCAAATTTATGCTTGTCAAATTTAAATAAGTCTGAATTAAGATATTAAAACTAACAAAAGTTCTATTTTTCAGATTTGAATTATTAAGCTTATCTTAATTAGTTTTATCTTTTAATTAAAATATGAATTAATAATTGATTTTATGTTTTTTTTATTTTTGATAGTCAAATTATTTATACCAATCCTTTATTTTCAATAACTGAAATCCTTTAAACTTTATTCTAATGTTTTTTAAAGTCTTGTGTCCACTAGTAATCGAACCAAGATTTCTGTCCGAGAAATGTATAGCCAGTAACATTGCCGCTTTTCCGTAAAAGCTGCAAACTGATTGGCTACACATTCTCGGACCGATTTCTAATATCGTGGATACAAAGCTTAAGCTTAATTGTGGGACTGTTCTTTTTAGCTGCACTGCTGCAGTTAGAGTGAAAAAAAGTATGTTTATCTCTTTCCAGTTTATTGCACTAGTGCAGCAGTGCAGCTAAAAAGAACAGATCCCCGTAAGATTCAAGATTGCACATGGTGCAAGATTCGAGGTTATCGGAATGTCGGTCTCTAATAATCATGTAATTAATTACGATACAATAAATCTTACTGTATCATGATATTAATTATCAATGTTAAAAAAATCAGACTTATCTTAAATAATTCCTAGTTTGAAGTTAAATTCACGAAAAAAAAAGAAAACACGTATACTATAATATTTTATTTCAAACGACGCGGAAAATTATTTATGGTTAATATCAATTTTATATTATTACTAATTATTTATATAATTAATTATATAGTGTACCTGATTAATTATAATTTTCCAATATAGATGGATAAGCATACTCCAGTTTCATCTGAAATGAAGAATTTCTTTTTGGATGAAGAAATGATCTCAGAAGAAGAAGCAGACGAGATTTTTGATTTGGACACGAGATATATTGGTGATTCAATGTCGATGAATGAAGACGATGATAGTGATAATCAGATGGAGGATTCCTCACAAAAAGATGATGCCGTGTACGTCTTTCGCGGTCATTCATTAAGTAAGAAACCACTTCAGTCTTCTGGGATAAATTATTCATCTCATTATACTAATGTTGTAAAACTTAACTTCAGCTCATTCGGTGTTCTGTTGCTCGTTGAGTAAGAATAGTGAGTTGGCAGCGACGGGAAGTGAAGAGGATAAAGCATATGTCTGGAACATTATCACAGGTGAAATTATTCTTGAATGCACTGGTCATAAAGATAGTGTTATATTCAGTGGATTTAACTACAATGATATGTACCTGGCTACCGGTGACATGGGTGGAATAGTAAAATTATGGCAGATAAGCAATAAAGTTTGTGTTTGGGAGACTGCTTTAGATGACATTACAGTAAGTGTTCTTTCTATAACTAAGACAAAAGTTTTATATCTCCCTCTATGCATATCTACAATTAATATTCATTCTTTTAATCATTCTTTATAGTGGATAAAGTGGCATACTTCTGCTAACATCTTATTAGTAGGCTTAGAAACAGGAGAAGTTCATATGTTTAAACTACCAGAAGGTGCTTGCAAAGTCTTTGCACAGGGATATGGCGATAAAGCAGAAACTGGTGTAATTCTTCCTGATGGTATGATATAAATATACCTTTGGTCTTATTATTTAGTAAACAAAGTATTACATTTAATGTCTAAATCTTGTAGGAAAACATGCTGCAGTGGGATATTACAGTGGCACAATTCGTGTAATAGATTTAAAAACAAATACTATACTCTCTACTATGCCCTGTTATCCAACACAATTACATGGACATTCAAGTGCTATTACTGCCCTTGACTGTCACTTGAATAATAATTTGTTGATTTCAGTATCACTAAGCAAGACTATATTAAGTATGGTGCATAATGGCAAAGTAAAGAAAATTTCTACAAATTTCTTTTGATTTACTGATTGTTCTCTATCCTGTAAAAAATTATTTATATCACATAATAGTTGAATAAAACTCCATCGTGAATAAAAATTTTTAATTAATTGTGTGATTTAAATGTTCTGTATATATACATATATATAAATATATATAGACACTTTAAAGTTTAATATCTTAATGATAAAATATTTTTCAGATAACCTGTGTACTTCAAGATTTAAATTCTTCTAAAAATGAAATGACTAGTGAAGAGGACAATGCAAATAATGTTAGTATAGAGACTGTAGCCTTTTGTAAAGATCCTGCATTCCCAGTTGCTGCAGTTGGAACAATCGAACAGAATTCCTCTGGAAAACTTTACATATGGGATATTTCTAAACAAGTATGTACTTTTCATTTATGTATTATATTTCTTTTAGTAAAAAAGATTCTAAACCAAGATTTTCTTCAGATTCTTAGACATGAAATTACACAAGAGGGAGGCATTACAAAGATTGTTTGGACCAGTGCATCAATATTGTTTACAGCAGGACTAGATGGTACATTAAGATGTTTTGATGCAAGAACGGGTTGCTGTCTCAAATCGTTCTCAGGCCATAAAGAGACTATACTTGACTTATGTATATCTGAGTAAGTTACTGACAATTGGCATGGTACTTTTAATTACAAAGAAATGAATATTTATTAGAGCACAAGAAAGAGAAAAATATTAATATTAAAAGGATTTAAAAAAAGAATTTATTAGTTTATCTTAATTGTGTTCGTATCAGACATTTAGATAAACTTATTACTTGAATAATTATATAAAAATTTATAGAGATATCAATCAATAGATTATTAATTAATAACATGAATAATAATAGTAAGTTGTTTTTTCATTTGGCGATGTGGCATTCTCGAGCATTTAAAATTATTTTGATCTTTGCCTTGAAAATTTGTTTTCAAAAATTTCTTGTTTGCAAAATGTTCAATCTTTCCTGTGATATTTAAGAAAATATATATATAATTTTTTTTCTTTTCAGTGATAAAAAAAAGGTATTGACCGTTTCCGACGATAGTACTGCTAGAATCTTCGATATCTCATCCATAATATAAACAAAACATAGATAACTAAGAATAAATGTATATATATATAAAATTATTGTATATATATATATATATATATATATATATATATATATTTACGAAAATGATTTATAGAATATGTATCTTTGTTTCTTTATAAATTATGAATAAAATTTCATCATTTTTGTCAAATTCCTTAAATTCATTTGTCTTCGCATCATAATATATTGAGCTCGTATCGTTTATCTCTTTGCATAAATTGCATTGACATATTTTTTTTACCATTTTCTAAGTCGAAGAAAGCGTTCGATAGCTATATTCGATCTCACAAATTTCTTCATTTACTGTTCTTGTTCATGATCTTTTGTTTCAATATCACTACACATTTATAAAACAACATTTTATAATTTATTTAAATATTTATGTTAAGTACAAATTAATTATTTATCTCACAAGTATAAGCAATTAGACTTTTAACTATGTAATTTCAATGAAATCAAAAAACATAATAAAGTTTAAAGCTGTATTATATTTACCAGAAGAGTATAATTTAAGCTTACTCAATTTATTATGTTTCAAAATAAATATAATAAAATAAAGGTCCGTAGAATAAATCAACAAAATTAATCAAAGACTTAGAGGACCAGAGCAATGGTGAAAGTATGCTATAATAAATTACACAAGTATATGTATTTCACATTACATTTAAATATGACAAACGCTGCGTTTTGATCCCGTTCGGATCCTTATCAATGTCTAATAACAATAATAGAAGTCAAAATCTAAGCATGTAAAATAAGTTTCGGGAACAAAGAATAAAGTAAACAAATAGCGTATTACAATGTTATAAATGTTCATAACGGAAAATTTACAAAAATGATGAAAATTAAAAACCAAAATTTGTTTTTTTGTTATGAACATTTATAACATTGTAAAGCGCTATTTGTTTACTTTATTCTTTGTTCCCGAAACTTATTTTACATACTTAGATTTTGACTTCTATTATTGTTATTAGACATTGATAAGGATCCGAACGGGATCGAAACGCAGCGTTTGTCATATTTAAATGTAATGTAAAATACATATACTTCAGTGTAATTTACTATAGCATACTTTCACCATTGCTCTGGTCCTCTAAGCCTTTGATTAATTTTGTTAGTATGTTTCATGTCATTAGATTTTTAGATTATATTCTTATTATTCTTCCTATATTCTATTTCTATAATGTATTATTAAAGGAAGATATAAATGAAGACAAATTTTGTGAAATAAAATAGATTCAAATTCTTTTACTTATTTTACACTGTATAGTGATATCACTCATAATACTTGCATTGATACATCTTTACATCTTTTATGCAAATGCTTACTGATTTGTCAGTTTAATATAATATTTGTCAGTTTAATATAATATTTGTCAGTTTAATATAATTAATTAATATAATTAATATAATATTAATTAATATAATTAATATAATATTTACATTTTTATATTAACATTATTATTAGAAAAATGTTTACTTCATATTATTTGATATCATTTGAAGCTTAAATAAATTATATAAATCAAAACAATAAATTATACCGAACAATGTGTGTCTTTCTTGCATCATAAAAAATTATTGCATTCATGAAAAATTAAATTTTTTCCTGAAATAGGATTTGCAATCCAAAATGGAAATTGAATGGGCGCTTTTTTATAGTCCTCTCCATTACACGCAACTCCGTATTCTCCCTTAATGTTCATGACGATTATCGCACCAAAGAATTTGGGAGAACCTTTAATGATCCTGTTTATCACCTCCTGGGCAGCTGCACTCGGTGTTGCTCCACGACGCATCAATTCTACCGCCAGAAAGCTGTAAAAAGTATTAGATATTTAATTTTATGTACTAAATACACATATACATATACACATACATATAATAGTAATAAATGTAAAACAGAAAATTTTTTACATTATACTTACATATATAATGTTATAAGTTATATAGACGTAAACAATAATAAAAAATTTTAAAATTAATATTAAAATAGAATTGTAAATTTACGATTTATCTCAATATTGCGGAAAAATATATTAATATCAATTACAATTGTACCTCGGTACAAATCGTATCATGACATCTCCGTCACCAGTACAAGCTGCCGCGCCAACTTCTTGATCGGCGTATGCTCCAGCTCCCGGAATAGGGGTATCTCCAACACGGCCGGGTATCTTGTGATTGAGACCATTCGTGGAAGTACCGGCTGCTACGCGTCCTTTCAAGTCTATCGCGAGTATACCAATCGTATCATGATCTTCGCTTGCTACAACGCGTTCTTCATATCTAATATCGTTGTCTGATATGTTTTTCGATTTATACGCCCCGCAGCTGGTCTTTGGATCCGGCTCAACATTCTAAAAATAATCATTTTACATTTTAAAAATATTACTACGCTAAAAATATATTACATTTTAAGGATATGAAATAATTATAAGAAATTAAAGATTTCTTCTTCCTGTACCTTCCAGAAATTGGATTGACAGTTGTTTGCTTTCCAGTCCTCCCACATTTGGTGGGATTGATTTGTCGTTAGAGATTCTTCTTTGAATCCCATCTTAACAGCAAACTCTGTAGCTAAATCTCCACTTAATAAAGTATGTTTAGTGTGATGCATCACCTTGCGCGCTACTGAAATAGCGTTCTTTATTCTCCGCATTCCTGCTACTGCGCCCATATCCAACGTCTCTCTGTCAAAGAAATATAATCCTTGAATATCATTAAATGATATAATTTAGTTAAGAATAAAAAGAAATCATTGTTTTATTGTTTTTATTACCCATCTATAATCAAAGCATCCAGTGTAGTTTCTCCATTTTCATCTGGACTACCACCAAATCCTACAGTCTTTTTACATTGTTCTGCCTCACACAGAGTGCATCCTTCTTCTATTGCATCTAGAGCACTTCTGTTCTGATTATATATCACGTCCCATGCTTATAAATGATAATTAAGAATACTTTTAAATGATGAAAATTTGCACAAAGTTGTCATTTCTCTTGGCAAATTAATGTTAAAATATATTAATATACCTTTTGTTATTGCATTTTCATAATCCCAGGTAATCATTACCATAGGTAACGTCTCATTCTTAACACAAGACTTAACAATTGTATTGCTAAACAAACAAGAGAAGAGAAACAAGATTCCTATAAAATTAGCCAGTTTCATCCTTCTAGCAATATCTGGAAATGCATAATGTTATATGGCCTTATATGATATAAGATAAACTTTGTATAAAAGAAAATGGAGAGAGAACATATTTTTCATAAGTAGAGAGTATACTTTGTATATCGATATTAATAATAATATCGATAATAAATAGATAAGATTACTTTGCAATAATAATAATGTATTAAGAGGCAATTAAAGGAACTGTGAATTTTTTATGTCTTGAAATCTCAATTATCTTTATACCCTTCAAACATACCATTACATTGTCCTAAGATATATAGTTACAAGGTCATGTTGATGATAATAATTCCGAAATGTTTTCCAACGATTAAACTGACAACATTATTTTTGAAAGTATATACATAGTATCAGAAAAGTGTGCATTACTAGGCAATCCTATACCATATTTACAATTTTTCTCTTCGTTAATTTTCTTTATTTCAAAATTATTCTTTTATTGGTTTTTTGGTCCATGCCAACTCAAATCAATACAGCTATCAATTGAATAATATAAAATATAAAAGTTCTAAACAAGCAATGAATGTATATGTGTGTGTCGATGTCCTCTTGAGAAGAGTATAAAATATAAACAAATAAAGGACACGCGCATGATCAAAACGATCCTATCCAAAGAGAATAACAGACTTTATTTAAAATTATTAAAAGAGCAAAAAAGCATTTCATCTGTTCCAAAATTTTCCTTTAATTCCCATTCTTTTTCTAATGTCATATACAGTAAAAAATAAAAATTTTCGGCTGGTATTCATAGTTTTTATATTTAAAATGATTTTAAGTCTAGTCTTTGGCCGTTTTAAAATTTTGTTCAGTTTTAATAAAATGACTATAACATCTTCAAATCTTACTTCAAACGATTTTAAATATAAGAACGGAATATGAATAATAAAATCTTAGACTTAAAATGATTAAATAACGAAGATTTCAATAAAGAATGATTTAGTTTTAATGGGTCTATAATATGTGTTAGTGAACTGTAAATTAAACTTTTGTTTTGTGTAAAATATTATAGATTATTACTCATTTTTTAGGATTACGTTAATTTTATTCTAATTTAACTTATTTTCTTAATTCGAAATACTTTTCGCAAGTTACATATAACGTTCACGTAAAATACAAATTTATCGCACTGCATGTATAATGTTGCGTTCTAAATATCCTTATTAATGCACACAGCCAAATAATGTTCAAAAATTAATTTAATATATTATTGATACAGTCGCACATTTTGATTCATAAATAAAATTCGATACTCTTTTTTTTTCATTTGCATGATCGCATAAAAAAGATTGATTCTTATTATATGCGTTAGTATTCGCGTTTTCAAGAATTGTTATGGAAGGAAAACTTTAATTTCTTGAGATAAATTCATACAACAAAATCGAGTAATATTTGATAAAAGTGCTAATTCGATACGCACCTCAAAACTTGCTGTTATCTGGCATAACTTCTCAATATCGACTGTGGAAATGTCCTTCAAAAAAAATCTGAGATTGCTTGTGAAATCATACTATTTAGTAAATATTTTCGTCAGTATTTCGTATGTCCTATCGAAATATATTTCTGTAATCTATAGTTATATATTTGATAAAGATGACTGCAAATTAAATGGTGAATGTACAATTCATCATTATAATATGGATGATATTATATTTTGTTAATAAATCTTTTATAGAGAGAGATGGAAATTCTCTTCTTTCTTATGATCACCATCACGATAAGGATAAGGAAGACTAGCAAAATGACATGATATTTTCTCTCATATAAGCTCTCCACAGAATATTTTAAAAATTAAAAATTTTTTAAATATTTTTAAACTTTTAAAAATTTTTCGATCACTGAAAAGTATTCTGTCTATATATTTATGAATTACTCAAGAATTATTGTACAGATGTTAGAGAATTTCAAATTTGATGTTGGAAGATAGTTGGAAGATAGCAGTAAAGTATCATGTCAATGCCAGTACAAGCAAACAATTGCCAACATTAATACTCTTTAAAAATGGCAAGGAAATAAAATTCATACATGAATCATGAGAAAAAAATCTTGTCAAATTTCTCTTCTCACTGGTCATTTAAGAATCTAATTAAACAATTTCAATTTATAATCTACTAAAATTCTGTTTTCCTTTATTTATTTGTCTCCATATTTGAGGACAATGTAAAGACTGCATTTCAATAATATTTATGAGTGTAAGGAAAATCCTATCAAAAGAAAAATCTCTGACAGAATAATACAAAATAAAATCTAATGAATTTTATTTAATAAAGATATTTAATGAAAAAAATCCTTTCACTAAGCAAATTTCAATTAGATAGAAATATTATTATTTTATCTTAAATAGTAATATAAAAAATTTATTAGAAACTATCAATCATAACATAATCAGCTGTTTCTATTCATTTTGCAGTGCAGTATTTTCAAGTATTTAAAATTATTTTCATCTTTGCCTTGAAAATTTGTTACCTTCGTTATTTCATCTATAATAATATAACAAGATATAGATAACTAGAAATATATGTGTGTATGTGCATATATATACAAATATATATATATATATATATATATATATATATATATATATTTGTATTTACAAAAAAATTTATCAAATATGTACCTTTGTTTCTTGATTTTCATTGAAAATTTCATTATTTTTGCCTATTTCCTTGTATCAATTTGTCTTTGTACCATATTATATCAAGCTCGTATCGTTTATCTCTCCATACAAAATGCGTTGGCGCATTTTCTTGACCGTTTTCGAAATCGAAGAAAGTACTGAATTCGATAGCCATGTTCGATCTCACTAAGCCAATCCCACCTGTTTTTTCTGGTGCAGGATGGTACACTCTTCCTGTATTAATGTTCATAAACAATTTTTGTGGCTCAAATGGCACCTATTGCAAATTTTAACAAAGTATGTATAATATTATAATTTTATTATATATATAATGTTATAATTTTTTACTATATAGATTTTTAGAATTACCATTAACAAATCATCTGCATGTGCATAACTGAACCAATCTTCATCTGCATTAGTTTCCACATTATGCCTTTGGATTACTTTGGTAAAAACTAAGGGTAGATCATCACATCTTACATAATTTCTTTCTACACCACAGATAGACAAAAATGGGAAATCATTTGTGTAGCGACCAGTATTATTAACTTTCAGATGCTTAAAGAAGAATGCTAGAAATTTTTTGTCTGTAAAATAAAATTAATATATATGAATAAAGATGCATATCATAATTTATATAAACATTATTGCATACCTTTGAAGCACGATGTAAAATTCCTTATGCGAACATCATCCAGAAAAAGCTGTAAAAAAAATATATTTCAATATTATTTATAAAATGTTAAATTCAGCTATTAATATATAATCTTAACTCAGAAAAATAGTAACATCAAAATACCATTCCTTGATGATCGATGTAGTAAAAGTATTCTCGCACACGAGGCTGAGGAGATTGACCCTGGATATAAGTTGCACAAGTCCTCTTAGAAAAAAAAAGTGAAAATTTTTTACTTGCAATGAAACCAACACGCTTATGAAGTATTGATATCATTTTTAACAAATATGAACTTAATGATATCAATTAAGATATATCCTAGGATTTATAAAGCTTTTTTTAATGTCTTATTATAATTTTACAAAATTGTATAAAGACAAAATAAATTTTTCTTATAACAATATAAACAAGTCTCAATTAGTATTTAAAAAAAATATTAATTATTTATCACAGAGCATTATTTATCACAATCCAATATTGTTTTACATCAATCGTATAAAATTCATATTCTTTATAACGACAAGCGTTTCTACAAGTATCTTTGTCAAATGTCAAACTTTTTCCGTGATTATTGGCACAAGCTTGTCATACAATTTTATTTTTTCACAAATTTTCTTTCTCTGTCAGTAAATCTATTTTACCACAGTGCCATTTTACCGAAAACTGGTAAGCTTTAATTAGCGTCATCTAGCGAAATTTCGATCATCTTCTGATACATTATTTCGCACTCACATGCGTGCGGAGTCAAAGAGAGAGAAAGAGATAGATAGATAGATGGAAAGAGAAAGAAAGAGAGAGCGAGACAAATAGTGAGAGATTCGAGAGATGAGATACGACGATAAGGAAGAGGAGGAGATGGCAGTTTCTTGAGTGAGAGAGGCAATCGTTTTCCGCGCTCGTGAACACACGTCACATTTTTTTCTCTCACGTTCTCCCAAGGGGGGGAGCGGCAACGAGACGAGACAAGACGCGACGCGACACGACGGGACGCCACGCGTCGCGGTGTCCGGTCGCGAAAGGAAGAGGCGAGGATTCCGAGCAGAAGAGAAGAGACGGTTGCTGCTGATAAACATGTTACGTCCGCGCGAAAGGAGATCGTACGACGTGCGTCAATCGAAATCTCGAGCTGTCGTAGCTACCAAATAAGTCCGCGCGCGCGGCACGAAGATGGCCTCGTCGACGAGGAGATCCTGGAAGCTCCGTAAGATCGTCGTTCACGGGGAAACGAACGTCCCTGACGCGTCCTCGAGCGTCCTCCTACGCGCTGTGGAAAACTCGATCTTCTTGATCTCACCGCGAATAAACGCTCTCTGTTTACACAAACTCGGCTAACGATTGTTCCTCGCGGTTTCTTCCAATTATGGTTATAACTGGCACGACCAGGATTTGTCTCCCAACGAGAATGAGAAGGTCGTTTCTTCGCACGGTGACTGGAATCGGAACGTTAAATTATAGTGCTATTTGAATGTGGACAAAAATTTGTTTTTCACGAATGATAGATAATTTTTATTTGTCCAGAAAATTTGTTGACTTTACTTTTTTAAATGTGTAATATTATATTAGAAATAAATTACTGCTATTAATGGTAAAGTAAACTGGAATTATTACTTTTAATTTTGTGATCACAAACAAATGATCTTTGTTTATATAACTTGTTTTAATTGATATTTTCCATTATCATAATTTCCTTGTCAATGATTTATATATAGCAAGAGTAAGAAATTATTTAGAAAAGAAAAGATTGATGAATTATCAGAGAATTTTTATAAAGCTATGATTTGACAAATAATTATATATTAAATAAATAAACTGTACTTCTCTTTTCTCAGATAATAATATAAGAAAAAATATAAGCTTATTTTGCATATAAATTTATACTTCATAAAATTAGGACTGTATCTTTATCATATTTTATCATAATACAAATGAATTAGTATATATATATATATATATATATATATATATATATATATATATATATTATCAATGTGAAATATACGAGTGTTATTTTTTTTGCACAGAGGAATTTGTTGCCCATACACCAAATGTCAATTGCCTGGCATTAGGCCACAAATCTGGTCGTGTTTTAGTAACTGGTGGTGATGATAAGAAAGTAAACCTATGGGCTGTTGGAAAGCAGAACTGTATTATGGTAATTATTATTGCATAATCATTTTGTTATCACCAAATACATTGAAGCTTTTATTACATTTTAATGTGAATACATAAAACATTATATGTCAATGATATATAATGTTTTATGTATTAACAATGTCAATAATATAATTTTTGTTTCTTTTTTTCTTAGAGCCTGAGTGGCCATACTACTCCCATAGAATGTGTTCGCTTTGGCCAGACGGAAGATCTTGTATGCGCTGGCTCACAGACAGGTGCATTGAAGATTTGGGACCTAGAACATGCCAAATTAGCACGCACATTAACAGGACACAAATCTGGAATACGTTGCATGGACTTCCATCCTTATGGGGAATTGCTTGCTTCCGGGAGTTTGGATACGGCAATTAAATTATGGGATATTCGCAGAAAAGGCTGTATCTTTACATACAAGGGGCATAATAGGACTGTGAATAGCTTAAAGTTCAGTCCTGATGGACAATGGATTGCCAGTGCTGGAGAGGAAGGAATGGTTAAAGTAATTAGATTTTTCTCTGTATATACATATATATATATATATATATATATATATATATATATATATAAGTGCGAAAAAGATGATGCTGACGTCTGTATTACTTTCTGATTAGCTGTGGGACCTAAAAGCTGGTAGACAACTGAGAGAATTTTCAGAACATAGAGGTCCAGCTTCAACCGTCGAGTTTCATCCGCACGAATTCCTATTAGCCAGTGGCAGTGCCGACAGAACGGTACACTTCTGGGACTTGGAGTCATTTCAACTTGTATCTTCCACAGAACAGAGTTCTTCAGCTATACGGTGAGCAAGTATGACAGTAATTCTATAATATAATGACTTCACAGCTATGTTAATTTTTTTATCATGATGTTTTAGGTGCTTGTATTTTAGTCAAGGTGGGGAATGTCTGTTCGTTGGTAGTCATGACGTTTTAAAGGTTTATGGCTGGGAACCAGGCAGAACGTTGGATACGATACCCACTGGATGGGGAAAAATCCAAGACATAGCCGTCGCTCAAAATCAGTTGGTACGACGAGATACATCAAACTAGCCTTGTATGTGTCGTATTGTTTTTGTTGAGATATAAAATTGTTTCAGATCGGCGCGAGTTTCCATACCGCGAATGTCATTTTATATGTGTGCGACTTGAAGAAAATCGCACCATTGGGAGGAATATCCGCTGTCAGTTCGCCGTTTAGTCATGGAAATTCTCTGAGAAAGAGCTTCTCCAGGGAACGACCGATCGGATTGAAGAAACACACGTATGCTTTACAAAATTTGATTTTAACTTTACATCTGGCAAATTGAGTTCGCTACAATATACATTTTTATTCTCTTACAGACTAGACGTACGAACGATAGAAGAAGCGGACAAGTCCGGTACAGATCCGGAAGATGAAGCCACCTACGCGGATATACCTAACGTAACCGAGTACAGGGACATTTTCCAGCCGAATAGGGCGTGTAAGTGGCTCGCTACATCCGTCTTGTAATGTCTCATTGTTCGTCGAGTCTACGACAAAAATATCCCTCTCCTATTCTAACGTTTAATCCAATCCGTCGCGATTCACCAGCGGATATACGACTAATAAACACACTAGATACACAGAGTGTCTCACATACAAACACAGACGTGTTGAGTACGTCTAAATGTGAATGCAGTGTTGCATAGTTTGTGAATGAGCATGCCACGCATGATATGTTTCAGTGTCTCGCACACCACCTCCCGAATCCTCCGAGGCTTTCCAGGAGCCTCATGATATAGGTGAGTTTTGTGTAATAACCTTCGCACGGATTACTAAACTAAATAGATAAGACGATATAAGACCTAAATAAGTATAAGTTTCATTATAACATTTGAATACTTTTATGGATGTTCAAATATTAATATGATGCGAGAAAGATTTAGTTTTTTCATAAAAATATGAAGAAACTTTCCATTAAAAATCTAATAGAAAAACTAAGTTCAGTTTGCAAAAATTTATGCTTTAAATTTGTTTAAATAATTAGTGATATTACTTTGCTTCTACATCACTGAATTTCTTAAAAAGAGAGTAACTAAACATCGATATTGTTGATCTATTTTAGATCCGACACAACCACAGATATTACAAAATCTCTCTACCTCAATGTCGAACTTGAGCACAATGGAACGCGAGGAAGTGCCGCCGATGTCATTGCCCTCCTCGCCACCTCCTCCGGCGCCTACGTTGTCCCTGATGAAGCCGATACCGGTACCGGTACGCGTTCAGCCAATTAAGTCGTCGCCGCCAATTCAGAGAAATCCAATCACATCAACGAGTCAGATTAGGGCGAATCTACAGGCGAATAATGGCCTTAACCAACGATCCTCCAAGAACTTCGCGTCCATACCACCGTTGAGACAGAACATCACACCGCTTCCGGGCAAGAGGATAAGTACCACTGATCAAACAGTGCCGACACCACCCTTAGGGCCGCAAAGATCGAATTCGACTCTGACGCCGCGCGTTGCGCCGATGGCCGCGGTAATTCCCGTGATGGACGATGGCAAACTGAAGAATAGAGTACCTAGCCCAGATTCTCCGAAGTATTATTTGAAAAGGCAGAATAGCAGAGACGGAGAACAACAAGGATACGAAAGCGATTATCCTGTACAGTAAGTATCTACAATGTTAACACAAAAAGTTATTTTAAAAATATATAGAAATATAAGAACTATATAGAATTATATATAGACATGTATGAATAAAGAGATATGAATTTTTACATAAAAATTTATGAAGACCTTTTTATATTTTTACAGAATATATATCTTAATACTTATAAAAATTAATTATTATTGTATATAAACATAATATTTCGTAATGTTTACCTTCTGAATGATTTCTCTTGCAGAATTAATAATATAAGGCACAGTCCATCCGATCCCGCGCTGAATAGGCCAAACACTGCGCAATCGAGGTCGACGTCGCTCAATCGAAACTTCGCTACCTCAACCGTGTTGTCGGCACGCAACGTCTCCACGACCACGTCGTTATCCACAAGGAAGCCACCTAACAAGGCACAGATTTCACCGAATCCTAAAATCGACATTCGCGTCTCGCAGATAAGAAACAATGTCGAAGAAACGGACAAGGAGGAATTAGTGCCGATGAGCGCTGACAAGCCTTACGGTTTGGACGTGGAAAATTTCCTACCGGTAAGTCTTCCTAAAAAAAAAATGTGGTCCTTGTATAAATATGCCAAATATTAATTCAACATAAGAGAGATCTAAAATTCGAAAAAACTTCATTTTAGTTTTTTAAATAAGAAATTTAATATAGAAATATAATAGAATTATTATATATATAATAGAAATTATTCAGTTTGTCAACTATTCAATTTGTCAAGTTTATATATAATATGTATATTATTTTATCTTTATCTTATTTTATTTTTATTTTATCTTATAAAAATAATGTTAAGAGTTTTTAAATTTTTATATGAAAAATACTTGTATTTTACAGCACAGTTACACTGGTTCCACATCATTAGGTTATTCTCAAATAGGCGTGCTGACAGAAATGTCGGAGGCCGAAGTGTTGAACAGCATGATGCGCAGCCATGACTCGATGATGGCGGTACTTAAAAATCGGCATCGCTCATTACAAATTATATATTCTTTTTGGCACAATAAAGATCTCAAGGTAATTATTTATCTGATTCCCGAGAGATACAGTTGGATGAGAAATATAATGTGATGTGTTAATTTCAGACCGCGGTGGAAACTGCGGTCGCAATGAACGACTTGGCAATCATCGTGGATCTCTTGGGCATTCTCACATTAAAACCGTACGTACAAGCTTTTTCCATTCAATGATTTGAATCTAATGATATCAATGAGACAATTTTTTTCATTGTCAGGTATATTTTTGTTCACAGAGCGATGTGGAATTTGGATCTATGCAATTGTTTATTGGGTCCCATTAGCGATCTCCTTCAAAGTAAATACGAAATGTAAGTAAGAACACATATTTTTGCCTTGCGCGTTTTTTAAATTTATATTTCTTAATTGATACATTGATATTATTTTTTCCGAAATATTACTTTTGACCTCGTCGATTTATTCTATTATCATGCATGTATACGCGTCAGATAATTTGCATTCGTATTTCATTGCTGTCTCATACATGTATATTTAAGGATGACGCAGTAAATATTTATCGTTCTTTGCTTTGCACATCTATTATCTAAGATTACTTCATCTTCAACGATGAAACACTGCGCATGCGTGGTATTGGAAAATCGAGACACCCCTCGAAAGGGGTTGTTCGCTCTTCTCCTTCATCCCCGTGTTCGAACGGAGTAGCACGCAGTATGGGAATGGCTAATTTGCCGAAGCGGGGAAATCCGAGGAGAGCGTTAGGGCGATGCGCGAAATTAGCCGAGACAATGAAAGATAGCGGCAGATGCAAATTCGATGAGACGCGCGAATCCTTCCTGTCGCGCGCTGAGTCGTATTGTTTGCGAGGCGAATTGAAATCTGAAGTGTCGCACGCTCGCATATGTCAGTATGGAGCGATGACAGTGAACAGACAGACAGCCGAGTGTCATCTTCAACGCCAAACAGCCGTCACGCATATGTAAATCTGTCAAAAGTACATTTGCGGCTCCGATAATGGTTTGGAATAAAACTAGAGGAATAAATTTGGAAAATGAAAATTTTAAAAAGATTTTTAAGCATTTAAAAGTCCTAAGATTATAAAAATCTAGAGAACTCTAAAATTTTAAAATAGATTTCAAAAATTTGGGAAATTATTTTAAATATAAAAATAAATTGCACTAATTTTGTCCTCGAAGTGAAACATATCGAGCAATACTTAAAAATAGATATTTTTCACTCAAAATAAAATTTTAAATTACTTCTATGATTGTGTGCAACTTCCTGGGCGTTCAGCTATAAATCCGAGAGAGAAGGAGGGAGCTTGTCTTTTATGTCCGTTTGACGTATGAAAGTGGGCGATTAACCGACTGCCCTCAGTTCCAAGCTGTTGCTCTGTCGTGACGCGAGGAACGACTGTTTCCTTCCGTGTTTTATTGTAGACTATCATTATTCACCCTCGGCCTTTATTCTTTCATGTGTTGTCTCGCAAGAATCGCCACGCTATGATCGCCGTAATTATCAAAATATAGTTCAATCCGCGAGCATTCACGTGAATTTTAAAAATTGTAATTATAAAAATTATGTTTTATTAATTTTCTTTTCATTTTAATCAAAATATTTTTATATAGATATATAAAAATATTAAGTTATATATAAAAAATAATTATTAAGTTAAAATATTATGATTATTTAAATCTAAAATCAGCTTTATTTTTTAGTCACATATATATAATATTAAAAACTATTATATAATTTTCATTTATATATTATAAAATCATTTCATAATTTAAAACATTTTGTTATACAATTAAACAAATTTAATTTTTGCGCCAATGAGAATTGAGCATCGCTGTTCTGTTCTATTAATCAATATTCTATACTTTTTAAATCTTTCTCCGATCAGATCGAGACTATTTGATATTAATTTAACGATCAATTAATCGTGCAGCAAATACATCGGTTATACAACTTCCGACAAACTCTTGAGGGTTACCCTCTCCAAAATTAGATTTCTCTCCACGGACACCTAATGACTTAACGAGCTTCCCGTTTCTTCTTTTTCTTTCTACCCGAGCCGTTTTGCTCTCTCCCGTCGAGTATTTATCATCCCACACGTGTTGTAGAAGCGGAGTTCGTAATATGCGCATATATTTACAGGCTGATTCAATTACTGGAGCGTAAAAGATCATTTTCCTTTGTTTATTTATAACGACGCTACATATGTATCATTAGCCATTTTTTCATAATCTCTTAATTATTTTTTAATTTTAACTTAAGATGTATCTTTAAATGATAATTTTTCTTAATTTCCTCTATAATTTTATTAATCTGTCTCTTCTCTTCACGAAAATTATTAAATAATTTAAAAAAAAATCTTTTTCACCGAATAAAATTTTGTTATGGAAAATAGGATTGTATCTCTCTTATTATTCTCTGTAAAATTTTAATCAATATCTTCTCTCATGAAAATTATTAAATAATTTTAAAAAATTTGTTCGTGAGATAAAACTTTGTGAGTTTTAATCGGACTACTTATACTATAATGATTGCATGGTATAATTTCAGTGAACCGGTTAATAATAGCCATATATTAGCACCCTTCATATATACTTAATAATGTGAAAAGTGAATTTAAACTAATTACTTATCGCTAGGCAGCTGTCGTTTGCAGTCACTCGTAATAACGACCATCGAGCCGTTTTTGCCTGGCATTGCTCGAAAAAGTGTATAATTTTTCATTAGTTGTTTTTAACTCCACGATCTGAAAAAAAAATAGAAATTAGTTAATAAAATAATTATGCTATTAATATCCTTATTATTACAGTTATTAAAGAGAACGCGTTGCTTAATTATTCTGATACTTAACATTAAACATAGAAAGAATTATTTTGTTAAGTAGTTTTTTATTTGGTTATTATTTATAAATAAGCGTGTTTGCATAATACACTGGTGTTCCCATTGTACTTTGATTTCGCAATCGTCAACGGGAGCAGAATCGACAACAGGCAAATATACACATCTCGGACGGCGGTATTATATAGTGGCAGTTTGCATATAGCTCGCTCGTCGTTTTCACGCCTCGTTCGTCACGGCCTTTCGTCCTGGACCTGGTGCCTCGTGAGAAAAAAAAGAGATCGTCGGCTAGAATGTCCAGACGCGTGTCACGAGGGAGGGTTCACGCCCCGCCCGATCGTTTTCCAATTTTGTGATCGCTCCTCGTTTCCCCTCTCTATTCTCCTGTTACTTATCTATCTCTAGATTTTCGTTGCAGAGAAAAAAATTCATTTTTTTTGCTCTAAAATGTTCACAATTATCTGATGGAGAGATAAAAATAGAAAAATGAATTTATTATAATCAATAATTAATTAGTTCTTAATAAATAATAATTAATAATTGTCATATTAATTAATATATAATATTAATTTTAGTAATTAATAATTTGTCATGATAATTAATATATATTATAATATGTGTGTGTGTTTATACATAATATAATCAAACATCAGATAATAAATGAAATAACTAACTTATGGTAAAGCTATTATAATGTGATTGATGAATATCTCTACCAAAAACTCTTATTATTATTATATTTTAATGAATAAGAATCGTTAAATTAAAATTACTCTTTATTATTTTATTTTTTAATAATGTGTTTAAATTATTATTTGCGGATTACTTTAAAATTTCCACGAGAGAAAAGACGTTTTTATTTTTCCGAAGTCATACGTATCGATCGTATCGGTTTCCTATTTTTGTTACAAGCCAAAATTCGGCCGGTGCGTTTTACACGGGGTGTGTCGATTGCATTCATGAGCGCGTTCGCGATTCGTCTCGCCGATTCGAACGGGAGCACGAACCCTTTCTCGCCCGTCCGTCCGAAAGCGAGAGCGTGCTGAATCGCGCGGGCATGGCCTTTCGTGCCTTTCGTTATTTATTGGCGTCGTTGTTAACGCGCCTAATAATAACGCCCGTTTTATCAAGCGAACCAGGCGTGACCGGACCGGTGGGTGTTACGAGAATTGCCGTGACATGTATCATTCCACGACTGTTTCCATCCTACCCTTCAAACATCCTATATCTGGATAAATGAGCAGTCTTATAAAATAAATGAATACGCGATCGAAAATTGCTTACTTATCTATTTCTCGTAATTAGAAAAAAATCTTTTTTGATCTGTTTTACATGCATCATTCTTTTTCGAATAATCTGTATGATAATTTGTTTTCAATCTGTATTATTATAATATTTATTTATTTTCGCCAAATTTTAAATGTTTCAGGTACATAACAGTAGCTTGCTCGGCGTTGAGACTTATCCTTCGTAATTTCGCACCGGTGATAAAATCCAACGTGGAAGCGCCCCTTCATACGATCGGCGTCGACGTGTCGCGAGAGGAACGGTGCGTTTTGTTCAATATATCCTTATGTCTAGGCATTTTCTTTCCGAAACTTGTTTTATCGAGCATCGTATCTATTATTCCAGGTACCACAAGTGTCTCTCTTGCTACGAGAAGCTATCGGCGATACGAGCGATTCTGTTGAAGAAGCAATCGACTGGCAAACTCGGCGCCTCGTTCCGCGAGCTGGCTGTACTCATCAGGAACCTTGAGTGACCGAAGCTGCGTCGTCTGAGACCCTCGTGAATTCGACCGCCAATATCGTCGTCGGTCAATCATCGTCGGTTTCATGCTGATGACGAGGGTTTGATCGTCATGACAGCGTGAAACAAACATCGAGAAGCAGCAATGAAACCCACTGTCACCTCGTATCGAGGAAGACGCGTTTATAAAAATTTATTCTTGTTGCTGCTATTGCCGCTTTTTCCGCTGCCGTCGATCGATCGTCTCTTCTTCGTCATTGTTATTCTCGCGGCTGCACCAATTTCCGAACAAAATTGCGAGATTCATTCTTTACTCATTCGAACGGCCGAACGAGTCGTGAAATTTGTCGTTATTGATGGAAAAAAAGAGAGCGAGAGAGAAAGAGTATCAGTGAAGGTAAGGAAAAAAGTTTGATAAAAAACGAAGTTAGCTGAAAGGCGATTGAAAGCGAAGAAAGACTGTCATTAAATGTGTTTAATATACTGAAGCACCAGGAGAGCCCATCTTATTTTACAAGTATATAAATTTTTCTGGGTATTTTTTAAAATTTATATTTTTTATAATTAATTTAAATTCTTTTTTAAAAACTTTAATCCAATAAATATCCATGATTATTTTTAATGAAATAAATAAAAATATATAATATGTCGATTATTAAAAATGATTAATTTTAATCAACTAATCAAAGAAAAATATGAACAAGTTAAATAAGTTGAATAAATTATTTTTTGAAAATACTCTTTCGTTAAGATGTGTGGTATGATTTATTATAAATAAAACGATAGCAAAACAAAATGGATCTTATAGATCCTGATGCGTCAGTATATCGATTTCGAAATATTCGATATAAGAATTGATGATCGAGAACAATATTTAACGAGCGTCATTTTGCTCGACAAAATCAGCACAAAATGAAGTTTCGTTAAAACAATTCGCGCGGATCGCGTGGCCGATATATTTTTCGCCCTTCTTGCCACAGATCACATATGCTACACAGAATCATCGAATGTAGGGCTGAAGTCAGCCTTAATCACGCAGGCGATAAAACGCGACGACGATCAACTTTGATAAGCGATTAACGAAACGTAACGTAAGTAGATAGATAGCGTGTAACATACCTTTCTTAGCGTACGAGAGAAATTGTATTTTTGCAAAAGGTGCAACTTTACAAAGTTTGCGTCCGTTCATTAATAAAGTATTCTAATCGTAGGCATATAATACCTTGACTCCTGGAGATCGTAACCTAAATAAAAGAGCCTAAATGTAAAGAGCGAACTTGTACGCGTCTAAAGAGGCGAGAAGGATCGAAAATTGGACGGGAAGAGCGTGTCGAACGATTCGCGTTTTTATATTCGTTTAAATTATTTTTTTACAAAAGTTTGTCCGTAATTTATAAACATTTTACTCTAGCGTTATTTATATTCAAAATATTACTATCGTCGAATGAACTTTTTAATCAACGTCGAAATGCGAAGAATACGAAAGAATAAAATAAATATATTCCAGTGCACTGCTTGACATTTCGTTTTGTCGTGTTTTGTCGTAAGATGAGTTAAAAGGCGGTGTACAATGACAATTAAACAATTAAATATTTGTTTATTATTCTGTAAAACAATAATCTCTTATCAGACTTAACAGCTTTGTGACTTTGTAATGTAAATCAAGTCAGTATTATGCTTAACAGTATTTTCTATGCTAAAGTATTTTATTTTTGCACATTTAGTGCTAAATATCTTGTTAGTGATTTCGATACTTTATCATCTGATATAATTAGAAAGGTATCATTTCAGACATTAAATTAACGACTTGAAGAATTAATGTCAATCACTACCTTTTATCTCATCACGACAATATTCTCATTTCTATTACGATTTATATGTAACTGTTTTTAAAATTGCGTTTCAGTGATAACATCGATTTGATAAGAAATGTGATAATTTAAGATTACAATTTGGATACATCGATAAGCAGCAAAAGTGCCAATAATGTTTAAAAACAAACCACCGACGAAGAACATTCCAGGACATAATTCTGAGATATTTTCTAATTTTCATTTAAAACCGTTTAAATATTGTTTATAAAACCAGAGGTTTCTGGCATATCGTGAAATCATGCAGAGCTATAAAGCTATGGAAAAGAGATTGATGAGAAAATACAAGATAAATGTGGCTTGGAGTATTCTTCATTTGTTACTATTGTCTAATAGTTAATATTTTTTATTATTGATTTTTTAGGATATGTGTATTATTTAAATTAATGTGTATTAAATTATTATTTTTTAAGAATTTATTATGTCTTCTGCGATCGTTCGGCTTTCCCTTCCAATATAATGGAAGGCGATCCTGATTTCTGCCACAAGAGACGATTATTTAATCATTATTACATTTAATGTGCAATACTTGCGACTATTCGCATGTTCTCGAAAAAAGAGTGCTTTGCACAAAGAAATGTCTGAGAGAAACGGTTAACACAATTTTCAACATATTGCCTCGAAGTATTATGCAATAAAGCGTACAATATTTTCGTTATAATTTTACATCTCACGTGTTCTTTTTTTTTATTCAGCGAAATGTTACCACGCGTACCCTCATAATGATATTCTTCTGTTCCAATTCTTCGCGTTAAAAACAAATTCATTATAAATTCATGAAAATAGATTTTAGAAAGAACAGAACTGATTAAATTTTATTGAATTTTATTATTATTAGTGAAATAATTCTATGCAAAAAAAACATGGAATATGGCAAAATTTATTTTTTATACGAATATAAATGATAAAATCAGTTTTCCATTTTGTACGTGTAAATTATTATAGGTTTTTCTCGATATATTTTTACGTTATCCTGAATTCAGATTCCAAATTATTTTAGACATATTTAAAGCCTATATTCTTAGCAAACATTTTCACGAATTACATCGCAATTCGCCAAGCATTTTCACGAAATGAAGGAAAAGATGCGTTAGCTCAATTTCCTCACCTTCGAAACGGGAGAAAGATTTCGTGGATTACTCGTCTGTTCCGTCCAACGTATTTTTATAAGAGAGGAAGAGAGAGAGAAAGAGATATGAGAGAGTGCGTTTTGCGCGTGTGTGTTTTTCGAATGTTGTAATTTATCGTTTCGATCGGTATGGGGCAAATGTAACCGATCTTAAATTTACGCTCATACGTTGTGTGATATCGATTCTGATTCACGATGCGTAGCAAAGATCATTTAAAAATATCACTTGGCTCCGAGTGCAAGTGTCAGCGTTATTTATCGCTAATAATCTCGAACATGAAATATTTCGCGTTCGAAAATATTTTATTATTTTATATGTTACTTTTGTCGAATGATAAATTTTATTATTGTTTTATTTCACATCTTTGTCCTTACTGCGTTATTCTTGTTTTATTTTAACATTTTAATTTCTATTTGTATCGATTATGTTGTTTAAATAGAAATAATAATAAACTACTACGATTTTATTTATCTGTGTCGTTTCATACTTCCTATTTTAAACCGATAAATATTATACTATATAAAATTCGGAATATATCTTGTAATTATAATAAAATGAACTTATAGTGTGATATTCGCAAGGTATGAGCGTCGTAAAGATATACCTCTATCTTTAATAAGAGTTGGCACTAATTAGTAGTGGCCTAATTTTGGGAAGCGATTTTAAGCAAGAGGCGAACATTTTTGATATTGACATTATAAATATATTCCATTCCGAAAAATTCTATTTATATTTTGTATATGTTTATCCATATATCGCAATCTTATTGCGATGCTCACGTTATCTCTTAGGCAATGCCTACAGAGATTTTCGTTCATATCATAAATTAATTTAGCAACTCTAATATTTCAACTAGTATCAATAGATAAACTTTTTCTCGTAAAGGATGGGAGGATAAAAATATATATTGCAATTGTAAATACTCTGTAAATTGGAGCACGTAAAGAAAAAAATTCAGGAAAAGTTCTTTCACAAAATTTCCCGCTTTGCTTCGCTGTACATTTGCTATTTTAATATCATTGAAGCCTCAATATTTACGGCTGTTTATAATATGATGTGATAAGACTTTGCCCTAATTGCGATCTGATTAATCTAGATTTCACGAAATAATTCTTCAACAACCTCATAACTGCCTTAACGGAAGAATTTCGAAAAGACAATTTCGTTTTATCTGTGCCGATTTGCATGTAATATTTAATTCTCTTTAGCTGTTAAGCCCGTTCAAAGTCATTTGAATAGATTAATAATAATATTCTTCAACAAGAAAAAAATCGCATTTTATCGACTATTTTATTTTCTCCCTCAACTAATTTCTGGAATTTTTTATGAAAAAAGAATATTTTAGTGAAAGAATAACATATATATGAAGAAAGAAAGAGCATAACTTTCTTAATCCGCGACTGCCTTCCATCATGAAAGATTTCACGAATTATTTATCGATGAAATTTTTTTATGGATCGATAATCTAGTTTATTGAATCTCATCCATCAACGCCAGATTCATTTTTTATCACATTCGCTTATCGCGTAAAAAAGGACCGTCGATTATCTGATATTTGCATCAGTGATCAGCGTTGCTTTTTAAAATCTGATTCTTGTCAATCAATTTTTTTTGCAATTACACACGCATATAAAGTGTGAAATGCACTTCGAATGTAGCTATTCTTGAAAACAGATGTATGCATCGTTCTTAAGTTGATTTAGAAATAACGTGGGAAACGAGAGGATTCAGATCCTCGAAACGAGGATACCGTTGCTCGCGAACGGCACTCGGGATCTCAACCGACACCGTGAAAAATAGCGCAAATATTCTAATCCGTGAAATATCGCGACCGTTTAAATCACGAGGCACGCGTGGCGGCTGTTTGCATCTGGATTATGTATTCATAGGATTATGCGAGAGCCCTTCCCTCTGGGGTAGCCACGCCGACCGACAACCCTTCATCGAGATATCCGACTCCGCGATATCGAGGTCTCTGATCCTTCTCTGTCTAACGAGAATTGATTTATAAAATCGGGTCACGAATTTCAATATGTATTATATTTTCCAAAATAAATTATAAAGATTTTTCCTGCACCTTAAAGTGTAATTGCTCGAAGATGCGTATCACCAGGAGGCGAGAAGGCTCGTCAAAGCCACACCCACCGTTTCTCGAAATTATTATTATGCGATCGTTCGCGCGCAAAATTACAGACCACGCTGTAGGAAGCCTTCGTGTATGTAACTCAGGTGCGTCAGGTGCATCGGCGATGTCCTCCCACGATCGGCGACGACATTGTTGTGACGGTGATGAGTTTAAGTCTCCTTCTCTTGTCGTCACCTCGAGCGTCGAAAATGCTGTTTTCTCACAATACGCCGGCAACAATACGTCGTTATGGAGAAGAGGACGAGGCCGAGGACTGGACCTGCATAAGCGGATTATCCCGGCCCGATAGAAAGCGATACCGATACACGCATCCACCCCCTCACGTAAACACTCCCTCACATGTACAAAGACGATGCAGCTTCCGTGTTCGAGAGTATTGTCA